CCTCACTCTTCTGTGGGCGCGTTCACCCGTTTCCTGGAATACATGTAAGGCCGCCAGTGGGCTTTGTGTTGACACACTGCGCCATTATGAGTAGACCCTGGGTAAATGCAGAGGAACACCTTGTGTTAAATAAAGGGTTGCGCTACCTTCGTGCAAGATACCGGTTCAATGTATTACCGTCAAATCTACATGTACGTATCTCGACATTGACAACACTTGCTGCCTTTGACTATATTGACCACGTCCGTACAAAACTCACTATACCTATTCTTTAAGTCAATAATTTGAAAACTGACGTTTGATCAAGCCTTTAAAGTACGTTTGTATTTATGTGTGCTCAGTGCAGTGTTTCGTGTGTCTGAACTGTTATTACATGTTACCGACCTTTCCTTTCTGTTGCCGACATGTCCCTACTGTTGCCGAACGTCCCAACTGTTGCAAACATGTCCCTACTGTTGCCGACATGTCCCAACTGTTGCCGACATGTCCTTACTGCTGCCGACATGTCCCTACTGTTGCCGAAATATCACAACTATTGCCAACCGGTCTCAACTGTTGCCAACCTGTCCTTACTGTTGCCGACATGTGCCTACTGTTGCCGACATGTCCTTACTTTTGCCGACCTGTCCCAACTGTTGCCGACATGTCCCAACTGTTGCCAACCTGTCCTGCCTTTTGTGATCATTTGGCCTTGAAGCTGCACGTATTGCACGTGCAGTAGCACTATGAACGGTGTTAAAATACAGGGTTTTCGATTGCCTGACATCTGCGTCAATCGAACAGTGACAGTTCAACAACATGCCAAGATTAACAGAAGTGCAAAGAAACAAGGTCAAATGCCGTTGTAGGCAGGTGAATCCCGATCAGCTGTAGCCCGGTGTTTCAATGGAGCGACCAGCACCATCACAAAGGATGGAAACTGGTTTGTTTTCATAAAGTGAACTATTGTGGTCCATAACTCATACTTCTTTGCTACACTGAGTGTATTACAGACTTACTTTTGCCACCCCCTTTTATATATTGAGCACACTTGAAATAGAACCCTTTTCATGGCATATCTGTGGTTGCTTCTACACATCCTCCCAATGATTGAGTCAATAGTTGCGATCATCGATGTCATGATTAGGTCTGTGTATAAAGATTCTTTCTAATAGTCAATTTTCCATTCATGTCGAGCAATATTCAGACATTCCTGCTGTTTGTGTATTCATTTCCTAAGTTTTGAGGTACAATCGAGCATGCTCATTCTTCGAAGATTTCAAAGAGCATCCTACGACTCTTGCTCAAAAGCTGTTACAGCATCCAAGGCCTGTGGATGTGGAGGACATTTCCAAATCAATGACAAAACTTATGTTCAATGCAATTCACTTTTGTCACTTGTACCATATGTTTTTTTCAGGTAAAACATTGACTTTTCTTGGCAGTTACCACAATTACCTTGTTTCACTGACATTTAGAAATAGTAAGTTGCCTGTGGACAACTGACTGGCTTTGTATGTGTTTGTGACGGGTGACACTGGTGGAGCAGGATACGCGAACCATTCTGCAAATACCTGGCTAAATGAATATTTGATAATGATTCAAAAACACATACTCATGATGTGCTTTTGGCAGAGTTTTCTTATAGGTGTAGAAAGGATTTTGTCACTTTTATTGGTTTTGTTCACTTTGATGGGCGAGGATATTCGTGAACGAACTTGAAGTATCTGAGCAATTTGCATGGACTATGGAAACCCTGCAGTGCCAGAATCAATATGAAATGGGTTATGGTTTTTTTACACGAGAAAAACTGCTTATGACAGCATTGCCATGACCTGTTAAATGAACTTGGAAATCTTACCTAATTATGTGTTAACTCATATCAACAGACTCCTTTCATGTTGTGCAAGTATGTTAGAAGTCACAGTCACGTTTATCTTTGTTGCAGGATACATGTTATCACGAACGTCCAGTCACGCCGGAAGACATCTTATACGTCGTGCGGGTTCTTGTGGTTGAGTCGGTGCAGCAAATACAGGTAATAGCCAGTAGCCACACAGGTATTGATCAGATGTAATACATGTATTCACTGCTAAGCATATATTGTCATATATGTATTGACTAACTGCCATACAGGTAGTCAGCAACTGTTTTACAGGTATCGATCAACTGTCATACAGGTAATCACTAACCGTCATACAAGTAATTACCAACGGCCATACAGGTAAATCACTAACTCTCATATGAATAATCCCTTACTGTCATACAGGTAATTACTAATTGTCATACAGGTAATGACCAACTGTCATACAGATAATCACAAACCGTTATGCAGGTAAATCACTAACTGCCATACAGATGTTCACTTACTGTCATACATGTAATCATTAATTATCACGCAGGTAATCACAATCTACCATAGATACCAGCACTGTCATACAGGCCAACACTAACTACAATGCAGGTAATCACTAACTATCAGATTAACATTAACAACAACAGATAATGGATAGCAAGAAGCACACAGATAACTGGATGAAGCCAGATGTAAACTCAAATAACAGACAGGCAATAAAGTCAGATGTACCGTGAGGATTAAAATGGTATTTATGGTTGTCAGCTTCTTTATTCCGAGGAACGCTACATTTCGGAGTGTGAACACTACAAGTGAGCAGTAATGGTCAACTGTCATACAGATAATCACTAGCTGCTATACATGTAATATCCAATTGCCATACAGATAATTACCAACTGTCATACAGATAATCACCAACTGTCGTACATATAATCACCAACTGTCATACAGATGATCACCAACTGTCATACAGGTAATAACTAATTGTCATACAGGTAATGACCAACTGTCATACAGATAATCACCAACCGTTATGCAGGTAAATCACTAACTGCCATACAGATGTCCACTCACTGTCATACATGTAATCACTTATTGTCATGTAGGTAATCACAATCTACCATGTATACCAACACTGGCATACAGGCTGTGTCACTACACTAATGATGATCACTAACTATCAAAGAGATAATCACTAACTGTCAAAGAGATAATGACCAGCTGTCATACAGATAATCACTATAACTGCCTTACATATATTTATATACTGCCAGACAAATGATCACTAAGTGTCATGCAGGTAATGACAAACTGCATGCGGATAATTACTAGCTGATATACAGGTTATATCCAATGGCCATACAGATAATCACCAACTGTCATACAGATAATCACCAACTGTCATACAGATAATCACCAACTGTCGTATATATGTTGTGGTAAGCAACAGATTAACATTAACAACAACTAGTAATGGATAACAAGAAGCACACAGGTAATTTGATGAAGCCAGACGTACAGTCAAATAACAGACAGGTAATAAAGACAGATGTGCAGTGAGGATTAAAATGTTGTAACAGGCTCAGAGAGAGTAGTGATGGCTGTCAGCTTCTTTATTCCGCGGAACGCTACATTTCGGAGTATGAAAACTACAAGTGGGCATAAGCATCAGTAGATTCCAGCCGGCTCTGAACCGTGACCAGGGAGCGTATCTGCCTTGTGCTTGACTTATTGATTAATTCAGCTCTGCCACGATCTATCTGTCGCATTATGCCCCTATGAAGACTAATTAATCCTGCTGGCTTCTATTTGTCCCGGGATAATTCATCTCTGCCTTCCAATCTATCCATTGCTCATTACCAAGCAGTGCTAATTTAGTTCCTGGCTTTTATCTGTCCATTGCTCATTTACCAAGCAGCGCTAATTTATCTCCTGGCTTTTATCTGTCCATTGCTAAAGACCAATTTGCCACTATTCAACTGTTGACTTGTAACGTTTCCACCATTATTATCTATTTATTTGTGTGTTTTTCACATGTACATATATATGCTCTCCGCATCATAGCATTCAATCACCAGGTGAAGGAATAAGCATGTACTCCGAAACGTGAGTTCCTCATAATAAAGAAGTTGACATCCATAAAGTCTCTCTCGCGTGTGTCTCCTCTAAATGCCATTCAAAGACTTGTAACAAGTCGATTGGTTACAAATTAGAAAGAGTATATTACTTGATTAGATCTTCATAGGTTGTACATACGTGGGATCTATCTCTCCAACAGGACAGTGTACTACAAGGTGCATGTGTGCAAATCTGGATACAGATCTACCGATAACCATGGCTGTCCGCACGGTAAATCTACCTTTACGAAAAAATTGTATACTTTTAAACACAAATTTATTTAAGTGACTAATCATGATCAGTACATTGATATGAACATGTAAGCCGAAAGAGGCTCTGTCATTGATAGACATGTACTTTATTGACTTCATCAACACATCCGTAGCCATCTGCGACAACGTCATTAACCCCACCGGCGCCTGCAACATCAACTACAGAACGTCCCACATCATCTACAGCAACGGCATAGCCCAACACAGTAGCGGGGGCACCTGCAGCCTCCCCGAGATATGCACAAACTGCAAGATGGGCTTCTATGCCAGCCCAAACAGATGCCGGAGTAAGTGGTTAACTGTGACCTTATCTAATATGCACACGTATTCCTCAGTGACCGAGTGCTCACAGATCCACATACAGTCAACTTAAATAACCATGATATTGGGATGATCTGTAGAAATACATTTTGTTTCATTTTCCTGAAGAGAGGCTTGGCAAATTGGCATCTCTGACTGGTTCATGCAAATAAATCATTAATAGGGTGCTGACATGTTTCAATAATCATGATACATATATCACAACTTGGTATCTTAATTACGTTGACATTACTTCTGGTCACTTGGTTACGTGCAGTTCTCAGGTCGGTAGTGTCTTAATGCCCTGTTTTCTATGGACAGTGTGCTCGCCAATCACCAACTGTGACCTGGAGCAATGTACGACGCCCTCTGACCAGGTGTGTTCCCGGTGTGAAGGGGTGTACAGGGAGCTGCCTGGGGAACGAGCGTACGCCGTCACCACAGACAAGAAATCCTGTATCCGTAAGTATCGGGAATTGTGGACACCCACTCATCATCTTTAATATACTTGTTATTTAATACAATGTTGCATACCTCCATTTGGACGAGGTACTACAAATGCCTTCTTTGCTCAAAGGATTTCCATAATTGATGACAATAACAACCTATTCAGAAATCAAATGTAGAAATTATTGTAACAGTTGTTCATATGAATGAGTTTGAATATATGCATGTTTTGACTTGTGACAACATTCAATGTTTCAAACAGACTGGTTTTATAGGTTTTTATTAAGTGTGTTTGAAGATTTGTTGTCTCTGTTTTAGAAACCACTGGTAAGAACAAGACTTTACTCTGTGTCGTTGAAAGACATTTAACAACTTGCGCTGGTGGATGGGGGTATAAACAGTAATAGGCCAAAGTATCGAACAGAGTGTATAGTACTTGATATTGCCTTGAAACATTTGGTTAAATCAAAAACAGTTCCGTGCATGTATTAACAACTTTGAGCTGAAGACAGTTCTCCAGTTCTCTTTTGTACTACCTTCCAAAGCCCTAGCATTCCGTACAACGAGAAATGTACATCTCATCAAATGTATCTCACCAGCAAAATTTAATTTGTTGATAATCAGAACAGAAAAGTGTAAAGAGAAGCTTGAAAGCCAAACAAAAGTGTTACTTAACGTCACATAATATGTTAAGTCATGAATAAAAGGAAAAATGAGCATTTTCAAAGAACAGAAACAACATTATTCGCCAGCGACTACTAGGACTGTAACTGGGTAAATCTGATAACTGTCAGGAATGAGATAGTCAGATCAAAACGTACGTGTCTCAGTAATGTTATACCCATGTCACAACTAGATGATCAATAGTGTAAGCCAATATCTGGTGTAGCCTCCTCATCCACGGATCACATCCACAAGATGCCTCCTCATGCTCAAAATCAGAAGCCTGATCCCCAACTGAGGTATGTGTTGCCATTCCTGATGCAATGTAGGGCATCGTTGTCCACAGAGATAGGACGAGTTGCAAGTACATGGTTATCAAAATAAGGCATAATAAAACCGTTCAATATGGTATCTTGGTACCTTTCTCCATTTAGAACCCCCTAAACTGTCACAAAATCAAATTTACAGTCAAAGAAGCAGCATCCCCATACCATCCCTGATCCGCCACCTGAGGCCACTGTTTCCTGGATGTTTTGCTGATGATAAGATGTTCCTCTTTGCCTCCATACAAGTCCTACCACCAGCGTAGACCTTCTCTCGGAAGACCAATGAATCCCCCTCAATGACCTCAAGATCCAGTGTGCTCGAGTCTGACACCAGGCTACAGAGCCCAGCATATAATGGGGTGAGAGCAGGGGACGTCTTACTGGTGTTGTGGCCCTTAATCCTGCTGCATTCAGTCGACTCCTGATGGTGCTTAGGGATGCTCTGTTGTTGGTATGTCAGTGATGATGAAGAACAGTGCAAGTTTTGCCTGGCCTACAAGGACCGTGTCCTCTCTGTCACTGGTCTTCGTGGACGTCCTGATCTCGGCATGTCCCTCACATGTCCAGTCAAAGTGTGTTTTCTGATCAGTCTACAGATTACAGCATGATTAATGTTTGACACAGCAACAATATCCCGACATGTCATGCCAGTTCGGTGCATGCCAATGATTTGCCATCTTTGATTGTCTCGGATAAAATGCTTAGACATTTCAGTTACAATCGTAATAAAGACAGACGTTTAAATTAGTAGAACTTTCAGTCAACATTAATAACAGTTAGGAATAATAGTAACAGCATGAACTTTCCGTCACCAAACATGAATTCTCTTTTTTAATCCCTCAGCTGTGCATACGGTTCGCATAAACGCACCCACAAGGTGGGGCAGTTAAGGTGTTTACCATTCTACAAGCAGATGATGTGACAACACACAGGTAACAATTTGAAAATCTCTACCATGAATATAAACTCGCAATTACACTTCCAATTTGGTGATGCAATACTTTTGATGAGGTGAATATTTTTGGAGGGCTCAGCAAATGTACCACCAAAGATGGTCCCTATCTCAGAGATTAACCATAATCCTTAAAACAATGCAGGAAAACAACTATACATTCAAAATTAATATAGTATTAGAGAGAGGAACTGTTGATGAAGGGGATTCACAAAAGTCAAAGTTTAAGTGTGAATCTGTTCGATTCTCTAAGAAGTTTTGATCTCCAACTTCATACCACACTAATCCACTTGTCTCAAATACTTTTTGTGTACATGCAGAAAGTCCTCCCTCGATTGTATTAATAATTATGGTTTATCCTGGAGACATGGATTTCGTGGTACATTGGCTTGGCCAATAACCAAATGCTCACGGAATAGGCGTTATCGTCGGGCTCTTACGTTTCCTATGATTACAAAAGTGTTTTGTTACCTTTATCAAACATTTAATGATCGTGTATTTGAGCCATTCTGATTGCTATTGGACATGTAGGTAAAAAGTAATCTTGGGTCAGGGACACGAAATTCGAAAAATGAGCCCTCTCACTCACTTTAGCCATACCTACTTTTCTCGTCATGTCAGAATAATAAGTAATGCAAATTTAAAGAAGAAGAAAGGCCAATTGCCAGCCAATCGAATATGCCTGATTTTTTTTTAAACCAACATTTCAAAAGGTTTTCATAACCTTTAAATGTTTTAACTTATCCTGCATTACTATGTATTGCATTTACTGCTGTCTTTGACAGAGAGACAACTGTGTGAGATCCAGCTGCTGAAGAAAGTTGTTTCCATCTGTCCAGGAAGCAGCGCCCCCTCCAACACAGTCGGCACGTGACCCGGAAGACATGACGTCATGTCAAAACACATAACTGCTTTGTCAGCCACACGGAACGGACGTATACTGTATCTCTCGTGGAAATATTCAAGCTTTATCTGATCCTGACTTTCTGTTGTTTACTACGACAAAAGTCTGCTGTGTTGTTTATTGTATTTGGTTTGTTACCTTTGACTTCATTCTATTGTTAAATGGTAACGTTTCTCGCTCGTGTTGTGGCTCTCGTCACGGTATTTCCGAGCGTATTGTTGTTTCCCGCCATTTTGGTTTATCCGCCATTTTTTCCTGCCCTTTTGCGATTCACTACGCGTCCACGTATTTTCGTGTTTTGTGTTTTGAATTCGCTCTGTGGTTGGAGTTTTACATTAAATTTTATGTTTGTATTTGGCGTGTTTGAAGCGTAATTGTTTGCTCTTATAAACTTTGTAACAGAATAAGTTATCTTGAGTTGCATTATGTTTCAGTTGTGTGTTTACACATTGTTATGCTTTTGCTTCAATTCCAGAATGTCTCGCTTCACTAACTGCTGCGGGAATAAATCTGGACGGGACCCCCGCCCCTGCTGCCTTGACTGTACAACCCCGTGGACCCTCACAGAGCAGTGCAGATACTGTAGTCCCCTGTCGGCAGTTTTCTTCACCGACTACCTACGAGTGTCTCGGAAACGCTTCACTCAACGTGTGCGTCGGCACTCAATCATGCCATCCAACGTAGAGTCTGCCTCCCATGGCACGACATACGACCGTTCACGGTCTCCTACACCCCCCTTACCGTCGCTTGCTTCGACCTCATCGTCTGCAGCATCGCCCGTAAACGGGTTTCCTGTCACCTCTGCTATCTACGTCGATAACTCCGGCGCCTCTGATGACTCCGGCGCCACTACCTCCTGCGCCTCCGATGTATCGGGCGCCTCTACCTCCGGCGCCTCTGACTACTTCGGCGCCTTTGACTTGTGCGGCGCCACCTACGTATGGACATGCCCTCCCGTCATCGTTTATGGATCCATCTTGGATGCAAGCTTGGATGCAGTCATTGTTTGCGCAAGCTACTCCCGCCTCAGCGGCGCTGACGGTGCCTCCTGTGACGCCGGCGCCACTGACGGCCCCGACTACAGATACTTCGATTCCTGCGGCCCCCTCTACTTCGGGTGCTCATCGGTCTCGATTGTCGTACACCTCGTCGCCTCCGACTGCTTCTCGGCACTCGTCCAAGTAAGGTCGATCCCGTCGTCGTTCTCGTAGTCGCTCACCCGTACATAGTCGTCGACGTCATTCCTCCTCATCAGAAGGGTCATTTCGACCCGATTATGACCATCTATCTCCCGAGATTGATACACACTTTGGCGTATCACAGGTTGCTGATCGGCTAGCGGACCGTTTGACCTCCGTCGCTCCCTCCCCGGGCTCTGATGTCGAAAAAATCTACTAAACCGACTTCGCTTCCACCCGACCCAATGCTGACAGACCTTGTTACGGCGTTGGACGAGGACTTCGCTGAGTTGTCCCTCACGCCATCGTTCAAGGCTCCTCGTTTCCGGCGTGATGATTTCCCTGTCCACTCCTTCGATGTGGCCGACGGTCACACATCCTTGACGAGGACTTACATCGAATGTCCGGGTCTTCCCAGTCTGCCACCATACGTATGCCGGACTCCCGACTCGCTTTCGTGGAAATGGAACTGCGGCATTCTTTGAAGCCACAGTCTACACTTGACTCCTCTGCCTAGGGCCATTGACCAGGATCTAACAGGATCCTAACAGGATCGACCACCTACGCACTGTTATGACATTCCAACTTCGCAAGGTCGACCATTTGCGCAATCATCTGAGAGCCGCTCTTGCGGAGATCACTGCCACTCGACGGTTGGGTTACTTGACTTCCGCGGAATGGGATTCCGAATTCGAGCGTTCCTTACTATGACAAACTTGGTCGGGTCCTACCCTTTTTAATAGTGCCATCTTCGCTACACACGCCCGAGTCTCCAGCTTCGCGAGAGATGAAACGTCTCTCAGAGCCTTGGAGCATGTCACGCACCAATCAGCGTCGTGGCCAGACAGGGCGTGGTCGTGGTAAATTCCGTGGCACCTACCAGCCCCGAAGGGATCGTCGCCCCGTCGCCACCTCGAAGCATTGACCGGTGGGACCTCAACGACTGGGACCTCCTACCCCCAGCCGTTCCGGTCACGGACACACCTGTGGGTGGGAGACTAGGCCGGTTTTGGAGAAACTGGTCTATACTGGATGTCCCATTCGTCACAAACGACCTCCTTCAGGGGTACCAGCTCCCATTGGCTGCACTTCCTCCCCTGACGTCCCCTCCGACAACAGATGCTTATTCGCCACCAACTTCGGCCCCTTCACGACAGCATCGACTCCCTACTGCGGAAGGAGGCCATAGAGATTGTGCACGACCCGGCTCGAAACCCAGGATTTTACTCTCCGGTGTTTCTGGTTCCCAAGAAGGGAACTACCAGCTGGCGCATGATACACAACCTCTCCACTTTCAACTGGCGCTACCTTTGACATCCTCCCTACTTCCGAATGACGACGTTCCGACTGCTCAGGACTAGAATCACAGCAGGCGATTCCCTGATCAGTCGCGATATCCAGGACGCCTATCTTCATGTACCCGTCCACCCCAACGACCGGCGCTTCCTCAGGTTCATTTTCAATGGTACCCATTACCAGTGGGTGGTCCTACCATTTGGAATTTCCACGGCCCCGTGGCTTTTCACACGGATCACCAAGCCGGTCGCTGCCTAACTACACCTGAGGAACATCAACTTCATTTTACCCTGCGGCTCTTCAATCAGTTGGGATGGATCGTCAATCAGATGAAGTCGGAGCTGACCCCATCGTTCCGTCTGCAGTTCATCAGGGGCCTGTTTCTCACGGATCAGAACCTCCTTCAAGTCCCAAGGAACTGGTGGTTGAAAATCCTCGCTCACCTCTACCCTGCCCTCCAGCAGGCTCGAACTCTCCGCCAATGGCAGGTTCTCTTGGGCCTCCTCACATCGGCTCAAGACCTGACTGCCTGAGGTCGCCTCCAACTCCGTCCAATTCAACAGTTTCTCGCTCCCTTCATCCGGCAGCAGGATCCGGAGTCCCTCATCGTCCTCCTAGTTCACCTCCACCCCTTCCTCCGATGGTGGACGGTGGAATTGAACTTCTGCGGCGGCGTCTCCTTGACCGCGCTACCGCCCTCCCTCCACCTGTTCGTTGACGCATCCAAACAGGGTTGGGGGGCTCATCTGGGGACTCAAACAGTTGCAGGGCTGTGGTCCGGAGATCGAATCCACTGGCACAGCAACAACCTCGAACTCGAAGCTCTCATCCTGGCCGTCTCCCACTGGCAGAGCATGCTCTGTCACGCCCAGTTGACCATCTCCACAGACAACATCACCGTGGTGTGGTGTCTGAGGAATCAGGGTACTCTCCACTCTCAGTCCCTGCTCAACCAGACCTTCCGATTCTTCTACCTGGTGGATCGCTTAGACCTGCAATTCCTTGTTCAGCACATTCCTGCTTGCAAGACTGTTCTGGCAGATGCTCTGTCCAGGCCGGACAAGGTGGCTCCCACCGAATGGCGACTCCACCCAGAGATCTTCACCGTCCTTTGTCAAACAATCGATACTCCAAACATTGATCTGTTCGCCACGTCTCAGAAATGCCAGCTGCAGACTTACATCTCGCCGGTCCCGGATCCGGCCGCTGTAGCAGTCGACGCCTCCAGTGTTCCCTGGGAGGGATTAAGCGCGTACGCTTTTCCGCCTCCAGTTCTCCTTCCCAGGGTTCTTCAAAAGATCCAGGCCACTCGACACCTGACACTGATTTTGTCGCGCCTTGGCGGCCGGCCAGAAGTTGGTTTGTCGACCTCCAAAACATCGCCAGAGACAACCCTCTAGAACTGCCGGCGTGGTCCAACCTGCTGATCCACCCACACAGTCGGTTGCCACATTCAAGTCCCGCTCAGTTTCGTCTGCACACCTAGCACATCTGCAGAAAGCCCTAGGAGCCAAGGGCTATTCGACTAGAGCGGCCAAGGCTATTGCTTTAGCCCATCGTCCATTAACAAGGGGACTATACGATGATAAATGGTCCTCGTTCCAGGCATTCTGCTCTGACAAGCACCAGGATCCGATAACAGCGTCACCGCAGTTCCTGGATGAGTTTCTTCTGTACTTGCGCAGCACACGTTGATTAAAAGGCTCTCCCATCTTAACGTACTTGGTCGCCATCAACTCCGTTCTTGCCATCCTGGACGACCGGAGAATGACGAAAATTCCCGAACTTCAGGCATTGCTGCGCTCGTTTCGTCTTGAAGACCAGAAAGCCAAGTTCAGACCGCCTGCATGGGATCTGAATGTGGTCTTAAAGGCTCTTCGGGAGGCTCTCTTCGAACCACTCCACTCGTCTTCCTTTAACGACTTAACGAAGAAGATGATGTTTCTACTGGCCTTGGCTACTGCCGCCCGGGTAAGTGAGCTCCACGCCCTCGACGTCTCTCGTGTCCGGTTCAAACATCGGACTTATGGCGCAGTTCATCTTGGGCTGTGCTGGGACTTCATCGCAAAGAATCAACTCCCAGGACAGCCTGATAGATCCTTCACCATCCCTGCACTTTCGTCGATTGTGGGTGCCGACGACGACGCGGAGGAGCTTTTATTATGCCCTGTTAGGGCCCTGAAGGTTTTCCTCCGACGCTCTAAAGCCTGACGCAAGTCTAGGAAACGCCTTTACCTACTGGTCTCCCCTTCGTCGCAGTCGGAGGTCAGCCGGAATACTATCTCCCTGTGGCTCCGGGCGATCATCCTCCAAGCTTATAAAGTCGCCGGATTGGACCCCCCCCCCCCCCCAAGGCTAACAACCCACACGAGATTCGGGTGGTCGCGTCTACCATGGCTCTTCACAGTAACTGTTCCCTCAAATCGATCATAGAAGGCTGTTTTTGGCAGTCCGACACCGTTTTTGCCAGCCACTACCTTCGTGATGTAGCCTTGGAAGATGTCCACGGCGTTCATAGCTTTGGTCCCCTGGTGGTAGCTCAACAGGTAAAGCAACCCCCGACGCCACTGATTCGCCGTTACCCGGAGCGGGGCGCGTCAAACTCTCTGTTGTTTATCACCCAAGATTAGAGGGCTCTACACTGTCCGCATTCGCTCTTAGGTCAGTTCTAGTTTTGGCTTTCCCGCCTCATACTATTTCTGTCACCTATTTCGGGTTCCCTCTTTTGCATCGACTCTCGTTTCCTTCGACAGGAATGGTCGCTGGTGTCGCGGTCATCTCCGCTCCGCTACCTCCCCACGAAGTTTCCGATGTTATGTTAAAGCAGTTATGTGTTTTGACATGACGTCATGTCTTCCGGGTCACGTGCCGACTGTGTGGGAAGGGGCGCTGCTTCCTAGACAGATTGAAATAACTTTCTTCAGCAGCTGGATCTCACACAGTTCGTTTCTCTGTCAAAGACAGCAGTAAATGCAATACGGAGTAATGCAGGATAAGTATACAAATGTAAAAAATATTTAGATTTTACTAAATTTTAATACCTTGTCCTATTTCTTTTTTTTTCATAATAACCAGATAAACGTTTTAGCGTTTCTGCCTTAACTGACTGGAGCGGATACATTTTATGACAAAAAATAGTGAGGTTCCAGGGTAAAAGTTATTTGGTAGATTTAAATTTAATCAAATATATAATCTATTTCAGTTTACAGTTGTAATGGTGCCTGGAGTTATATAAAATGCGACCAAATTCGCCTGAATGACTGACACGAGTATGCTATGTGTTTTTCAGAAACATGTTCGTGGCGCAGTGACAGTACACGGTGCTACCCGGGAGAATGTGCAGAGGAATATGCAAGGAATTGTATCTGTACAACAGAGTTTAGCGGCACTCACTGCGAGAAAAGTAGGAACAAAATACACATACAAAACCAATGAACATTTTGGCACAAACGTTAATTATAAAGTATTACAAAAAAAATCCCAATCAATGGTTTTCTTGGTATCCTGAAAACATTAAATGTGTCAATGACGGCCTGCACACAGTGAGGTGAACGGTTCCCACTCAACCATATCTCTGTCCTTGCTGCCAGGGTCAGAGTAGGACGCCAGTACCTCATTCTTGTCCCAGAGAAGATCAGGGTTCAATTGGGTGACTTGGCTGATTGCAGGGACTTGTATCCCAGTGGCGTGAATAGTTGATGATGTTACTCATTCACGGGTTTGCCGGTCCAGACTGGAACATGTCCAGGCCGTTGATATATTTATTTCTGCCTGCAGTGTGAACAACATTCACTTATCTACTCTTATCTGTACATATGCCTTGGATTTGCTGCAGAATGTGATCCGGTTCAGTATTGTTTTGTTTCTGAAATTACGTCACTACCTTCATGGCTCCTATCTGTAGCTCAGCACAGACTTGCTGTTGCTTACGAGAGGCTTTGGGGGGCTTGTGTTATTCATAAAGGGTTTAAAATAAAAATATGGTTGCGAATGGGTGTAGAGAAACGTCAGAGAATAACCAGTTTCGGTTATCCGTGGATATAGATTCCTTGGGGCAATTTTCCAACTGTGTCTTCCCGTTATCGGGAAACTGATGATTCTGGCGGTTACTGACCATGTCATCTGACACATCCGCCTTCCACCTGACATATTTGTAACGGTTCGTTACAATCTGACAGTTGCAGTTTTTCTTGGAACTTGCCTTGATTGACAGGTCCTATCAACTTTATTTGATGCTCATCATTCATGGGCAACTGACGTTTTTATGCGAAAAATATGGATGCATGATACACTAGATCACCGAGGATGCATTCACTCACTCACCTTGTATTTCCAGTCGACACGTTCCCGTCTATTTTGTACAACACACTGAAGGTGACCGGCCCGGGCCTGGACAGGGTGGAAGCCCCAGACAACCCCAATGAAGGAGCTCCCCAAGACAAGTCCTGGACCAACATTAACGACACCAGAATGATCTACTACAAATTTGAGACCAAGTTCATCATGACTGCGACTCCACCACCCAGACAGGCCTATGTTGAGGGCTTTGCTGTTGGCATCATCAACGCCAAAGCAACATTTGAAGTTACAAGAAGTATGAACTCTGTGTTCTTTTAAAGTGTATTCATTCATGATCATTGATTAATGTTATGCCTGATGCCATTGCTATTTTGACTTTATCACATGATCACGTGTTTGTTCAGATGAGCAGTTGACTTGCCTTTGCATGTGTTTTCTACTGGTGTCACGAATGTGACCGGATACGCTCACCTTGTCTCACGCCCCGGATATCATCATCATTTGAAAGTGATTCAAAAACACATTCTAATGTTACAGACGGAATTGCACAATTGACTCTTATGCTTCTTATGGTTATTTAAAGGGTTTTGTGGCTTCCATTGATATCATAAGTTATCCATTGTTAGTTGCTATTTGCTAAATATGTTCACTTTGGTTTTATTCACCTTTGGTCCTTTCAAAAACTATGTTTTAAGTTGTAAGTATGTTCCAGACGACTATGTCATAAGGAGCACTGTACGACCTTGCAATGGCCCCAGTAAGACGGCACCTCATCAAACTAAGTTGACCTGTGAGGAGGACGTGACTGCGGATACCTTTCTCTCCCATCATGTGGAGAATGGAGATATGTGAGTCACATGGCATGAGCGGTCTTGAACAACCAATGTATTGTTACAATAATCAATCTAAACTTGTCGAATACCCATTGATTAAATTTGCAATGACAAATATATAGCAACCTACATATTATGCAAGTTAACTGAACTTCTTTGATTATCCGGGTTTTTTTCTCAGAATGGAATTTACATTTGAGGCAACTAATGGTGGCTACGTTAAAGTGAGGAACAAGGAGAGCGGCAATCTCGTGACTTACTTCTACGAAGGGAAGACACAAATCAATCGGTATATCCTCGGGTTTGACTTCATAGACCCACATCACTGCAGTGGAGAACTGGAGGAGAACTGCAAAGATGACATGATATCGCTGGCCAAGACCCCCACACAGGTCATTTTAGAACTTGTGAAGAACAATTATTATACTGAACAATGAGTCCAATTTCTGAATCAGTGTACATGTAAACCAAATAGGGAGACATGATAGATGATAGTTGCATTATTGTTATTATTCTAGTATTGTAAGACTGTAGAAACATATATATGTAGCTTGACAGTATAATAGATATCTATTGTAGGAATGACCTCATACAAACCTTCTGTGATGTCATGGACTATTGCTGAATAGTGTAGTTATTATCTAGTCTGTCTAGTGTGGCGCAACATGGTTATATATGTATTACTCTTGGTCTCCAGGCTAATGGACACATTGAATACAGGAGCAAAACCTGCACTTTGCTTGATGCTGCTTCACTGGCCATCAATCGGCCTGATTGTTACATGATGTTTACATGTCAGTGATGTCCATGTGTTGCTGAGTGTCATATACACATGTAATGTATCTGTCTGACTCCAGGCTCCGATCAGTGTCACGTGGCAGGGATGGAGGGACGACGTCCTGGTGTTCTCCTACTTGGTGTCGATATTTGAACTTTATGACAAACATCCCAACAGAAGTGACTCTCAGCTCGTGGAGAAATCACTAGCCTTTGAATCTGACAGATACAGAGGCGAGGTATGCTATTGTGACAGATAATATGTCTTCACTCGGTCACAGAGAGTGCGTCCCTTACAGGTGTCAGGACCATTGAGTCGCCGATTGGAAGCGCAGATTCGCAACGAATTTGATCCTAGGTCTCGACATCTCATCCGGGCTCGTAGGTTTATAGACACTTTTGCCCATCTGCTTTGCTCATTTAGCTGGCAAGCTGTGATATCTGGTCATGGTGGACTTTGCGTTATCATGCTACAAACATAACGGATGTTCTTACATGTCACCTTGCCAATCCAAATGTATGATCAACAAGTTCCCCCGGGGGGGAATTACACACATGCATGAAACAGTTAATATATCATGATCATTATGTGCGATTATTTTATTGTCAAGCCAATACATTTTTGTCATCTGATCTTTCACATCTAAATAATACATCATTCATCCTTGGTTTGCAGATATCTTCAAGCCAGTTTCATCTGTCACACCCTGGGGTATATGCGCTTGTTTTAACCGCCTACGACAAGGCCGAAAACAGCAAGAGTGCTCGGCGAATATTCATCTATGATGGGGTGTCAAAAGTGAGCGTGGTCCATGACACAAGGCTGCTAGTGACGTCATCGGCTTATAGAACAACCCATCGCTGGCAGTGGAATACGAAGGACGTGTCTGTCGACTGGGAGAAGAGGTAAGGAAGTGTGCATCAACCAACTCGTGTCATCTGCATCACGTCGTGTCTCTCCAGGCATGTGACTGTTCAAAATTGGTGCCCGTTCACCAAACCACGAAGGGGTACCCAGTCGGATAAGAAACGCCTGACAGGCAACTTTGGTTGAATACTCCCCAGGTCGTTGAGGACGTAATTAAAGTGATCCATTGACAGGGACATAATCGCTACTAGAATATTTTACAACATGGAGTGAGTAAATTGGGTTTTACTCCGCCATCAACATTCCAACAATATCACGGCGGAGGACAAAAAAAATAAGCGCAATACATTGTACCCATGTGGAGAATCGAACCCAGGCCTTTTGCGTGGCCAGCAAACGCTTTAACAACTTCCCCCTACCACGTCGAAACAGCGAAAAATAATTTAACTTAACTGTCAAATGCTCAAACAAAATGTAAATGTATTTGTATATTTGTATTTCAAGTGCATAACAATATAACATCCCTATACACTGTACAGGTACATCAACATCCTCCATTACAACAACGGGTGGCTGAAGCAAGCAGCCTCCTTGCATGACGTTACCCCGGACTACGACGACAACAACCACTCCAGGGGAATAGACGGCATTGATCACGTTCAGGGTGAGGAAGTGCTTGTGTTCATTATGCTTCATTTCCCCAATACCTGCCTGTTATGGATGAACATGGAGTCGAATTATCACAATTCCCTCATGGTTGGTAGGTTGTATAGTGACGGCTTCGTGAAAGAGGATACCTGTGCCGTCAGGGGACCATCAGTGATTGATATCATGAGCAGTAACAAATGCCATCTGGCAGACAATCAGTGGTTGGTTGACAATCAGCAGAATGTTGTATTCACTGTATGCGGTCAGCAAGTTAACACACATTGCAACCAGACCCCAGTTATTCCCTACCCAAGTTTCGTCCATGTTGTAAAACATCTATGGATGTATTGAATCAAATTAGATTCTTTTTAACCATTTCATCAAATGTTTCCATTAAATACAACATTACATTTGTGATAAGAGGAAGCTCCTTCTATTCCGTTCCCGCTCCAGGATCTTGGCTCATGTGTTGTTTTTTTTGTTGTTTTTTTCCTTGTTATGCATTTACCACTAGTCTTTAATATCTGTTTATTAAGCTCAATGTAATGAGGGAAGAGTTTTGTTTTTGTTTTTTTGTTTTTTGGTGTTGAGATAAAACATTTTTTTATTGAATCTTTATTCACATTTCAAATAAAATACAATGTGTAGCAGTTCATCAATTATACATTATTCAAAAAACCATCCCTTTACATCAAACTTTCAAAAACCTTTTGCAAATATAGACAATCATAAAATATCATATCGTACTAGTATTCTTTGCCAGGAATGTAATGATTAGGTTTTCCAAAAAAATGTTCCTCCCACATTTATATAACATAGGCATAGTGGAATACCGCACCGCCTTCCTGATTGACCACAGTGGCGGCAGCAGCATCCTCTCTCCCCCTCCTGACGCCGACTTCCAGAGCCAGGGTCTGACTCAGCACCAGACAGTCACACCGGTCCTCGTGGATGGAGACACCGTCAGGTTCTGGGTCAGGGCGTACGACATCAGGCGCGAACTCCTTGAGGAGAGCGTGACAGTCCACGTGGACACATCGCCTCCAGTCATAGAGAACCTGTGGCTCACCAGGGGAGACAGACTCAACATCAGTGTTCATAGAGTAGAAGAATTCAATGAAATGACGTAAGTTTCCCTTTCTACATGTTAAGTAAGTAAACAGTACCTTCAACGCAAAACAATGGCAACGGGTGGCCAAATTTGTCTCATCCGCCGCAATTTACGGCTCAAAGTTGCGTCCCTCCTGCTTTCGTGAAACTTATGATCATGGGTTCAAATCCAACTTTTCATTAATTATGTTTCTCGGTTTGTCAGTACCATACCCGTGCTCGTAGGGTTCACATCACTCCGTGAAGCTGACACGCCGAGAAAATAACTAAAATACTATTCAAAGGCGCGTTAAAGCAAACTCACTCACTCGTTCAACAAAGTACCATGTCTTGCATTTAAGATTTGAGTGGCTGGCGTTTGATGACCATAGTGGTCTAGAGACTGTGTCGTGGAGACTCTACGACAACATCACCGGCTCAGACATCTACCACGGAGAAGAACATCTATCAGCTCAAGGAGACACGCAAGTACATACCTTCCTCTGTTATTGGTTGCTTTGTTCTGTTAATATAAATGTTTTCTTCGTCTCAGGGCACAACTACCTAAGTATTTATTCAGTTGTGTTTAATTACCCCCAGACACTGGCCAACTGCACAGCGAGGTACGGCGACTATGCACGGGGCGCCAACTGCTACTGTACGCCAGGGACAGGGTGTTACCACAGACACTTCCAGATCAAACCACGCATAATCTCATCTAATCTCAGTCATGGTGGCGTGTTCCACGACATGCACAAGGGCGTTCACGACTCCGACTACTTCATAGAGATCACAGTAATGAACCACGCCAAACTAAACACGTCGCTTGCAATCAAGGTGAGAATAATTCGTTTCTGTCCACATAATTTTTAAAGCATGACTGTGACTGAATGAACTAGTGTTCGACAGTGTTCAAGTATTCATCTATCTAGATTCTTAATGTAACAATGATACTATTGAACATGCATGTAACGTTAATTAAACTCACATTACATATTCCATGATGTTACTGCCTCTCTAGATGACACATTCCATGATGTTACTGCCCCTCTAGGTGACACATTCCATGATGTTACTGCCTCTCTAGGTGACGCATTCCATGATGTTACTGCCCCTCTAGGTGACACATTCTAAAATGTTACTGCCCCTCTAGGTGACACATTCTAAAATGTTACTGCCCCTCTAGGTGACACATTATTTGATGTTACTGCCCCTCTAAGTGACAAATTCTTTGATGTTACTGCTCCTCTAGGTGACACATTCTATGATGTTACTGCCCCTCTAGGTGACACATTCTTTGATGTTACTGCCCCTCTAGGTGACACATTCTATGATAGTACTGCCCCTCTAGATGACAAATTCTATGATGTTACTGACCCTCTAGGTGACACATTCTATGATGTTACTGCTCCTCTAGATGACACATTCTATGATGTTACTGCCTCTCTAGATGACACATTCTATGATGTTACTGCCCCTCTAGGTGACACATTCCATGATGTTACTGCCCCTCTAGATGACACATTCTTTGATGTTACTGCCCCTCTAGGTGACACATTCTTTGATTTTACTGCCCCTCTAGGTGACACATTCTATGATGTTACTGCCCCTCTAGATGACACATTCTATGATGTTACTGACCCTCTAGGTGACACATTCTATGATGTTACTGCTCCTCTAGATGACACATTCTATGATGTTACTGCCTCTCTAGATGACACATTCTATGATGTTACTGCCCCTCTAGGTGACACATTCCATGATGTTACTGCCCCTCTAGATGACACATTCTTTGATGTTACTTCCCCTCTAGGTGACACATTCTATGATGTTACTGCCCCTCTAAACGACACATTCTTTGATGTTATTGCCCCTCTACGTGACACATTCTATGATGTTGCTGCCCCTCTAGGTGACACATCCTACGCTGTTACTGCCCCTCTAGATGACACATTCTACGATGTTACTGCGCCTCTAGGTGACACATTCTATCATGTTACTGCCCCACTAGGTGACATATTCTATCATGTTACTGTCCCTCTAGGTGACAGTAGATGCAAGTGCACCGCACCCTGGAGTTGTCCATGATGGTCAGCCTGGACACCCGGAAGTGGACTACCAGGACAGCGTACAGCTCCACGCCCACTGGGACGGCTTTTTTGATCGGGAGAGTGGGGTCAAGTTCTACCAGTATCAGTTCTCGGACAAGTGTCTACAAAAGGAGCATTTCGGTTTGGATACGAGTACATTAAATGTACGCCTTCCCTCACATCGAGGTTTATCAAGTTTTCTTCCAGGGCGCATATTTACTCGTTGACAATCACTTAAATGCGTACTCAAACCATCACAATTACAGGTGGAGGAAACCTACTCGACACATGCAGCATGGTCGGCACCATCCCAAGGGACGTATCACGTGACAGTGGTGGCCTACAACCGGGCCCTGGAGGCATCTGACCCTGTGTGTTCTGACGGAGTGACCCTTGATGACACACCACCAGCAGTGGGACAGATTGCTGTAGCCGCGTCTAGCATTGCCCCGGGTCTGGTCACCACCTCATCAGGCACTGTCTGGTTCATAGACACTCACCGCAGGAGAAGCAGAATTACTGAACCAGATATCCAATGCAGGTACGAACCATCGGGATATTGAGATGTGTTTAAGTTATAACAATACAACTCTTGTTGCCTGTACGTTATGAAAAAGAACTTTAAAGATAATGTTTGACGTCTTTGTTTACGAGGTTTCCTATACGTCTAAGTGCACAAACGTCACGGAACGGTGCATAGACATAATGGATATCCCTCTGGTATTATATGATGGGTCCCAACATGTTTTTAGTTAGATCTCACGTTGCACAATCTTAACATGCAGTATAATGCTCTGACTGTGTGGACAATGTGCTGTCCTTTATGTCGTTTATCGGAGTTTATCGGAGTTCGCCTTATTGATATTCAAACCTTTATTAAGCTCGATGGTTGTTTGAAGTATGGCTGTGTCTATTTTGTATGAGAAAATGGATCGCTCCAGTTATCACGGCACCGACCGTAATGGATTTATCTATAAATATTCCTTTGTCACCAATTTTTAAATTCATCTTTAATGGTGTTTTTTTACCCTTAAGCTCCTAAAGCTGTAGGTCCCACTCCTTGTCATGGTATACTCTGATGAATCTTTCAGATCCAAAGGAACAGCAATCGACGCAGCAGAGTTAGAGAAGTTCCCCATTCACGTGATGAGGAATGGAACGATGTTGAAACGAAATGCAACATTTTGCATAGAGTCTGAAGCGTTGTCAAGTTTCCACCAGATATACATTTCGAAACACCACCACGTACGAGAAATATTCATAGTAGCTTACATACTACATGATTATGTCCACACCTCGTGTTTAATGCTGAAGTGTTTCATTGTGTATGTAGTGAGTCTCATGGGTCATGGCTATGCAGTTTTCACCTCGGCTACACCCTATTCCTTCCCTTGATAACAGTGGGAAAATACATCGTTAATAAATCGACAAGTTTTTAAAAATGCAGTTTAAAGATCATCATAACTCGGTAGATTAAGACTCATGTATAAAAAGATCAAGTCTCTTCGTACGGCTTCTGTTAATGATATATTGCTCTTGCCAGCTGTTTGTAAACTGGACCGGAACTGACGCGGAGAGCGGTATCTATGATTACGAGGTGGGGCTGATGTCAGATCCTTCTGGTGAAGCAGCTCCAGACATTCTGCCGTACACGTCCACTCATAATCATCCCCAGTATCAAGGCTACCACCCTTCTCTCAGTGAGGGGCACCAGTTCTACATAGCCATCAAGGCCATCAACAAAGCTGGGCTTACAACCATTCGGGTAAAGTGATACTCACAATGTTACCTCCTGATTCTTCGTGGATGAGTGAACTGTATCATTCAATAGCAGTCAGTGTCGAGTCTAGACGAGGAAAACCAGTGACTGATAGAATGAAAAACTGCGCATACCATCGTGGTTCTGTGATAATCAATCAGCCAGACTCCCGATCCTGACCATTTTGACAAACAACCTTTTTTCAATCGGAAATACCATGGGATTCCTATGTGTATATTTATATTCTGAGACTCTGAGTTATCTGGCCCTCAATCTGTTTGAGTACATGTGATGATACATAACCTATTGAGCTACATGGCCAGTTTTCCTCAACCTCCATGAACAACGCCCCTCATGTCGCCGCCATGTTTACTCCTTGTTTCCTCAGTTCCTGGGGCGTCTCCTCGTGCACACCCAGAAGCCTGTCTTTAACGGTGGAGTCACTGCTGCCCTGACTCCCAGTCTGAGTCATCTCCTAGTGACGTGGAACAACTCACATGTCACGGACCCTGATGCTGCTCACATCAAGTATGAAGCTGCCGTCGGTAAGAAGTGGCGGTCTTGTCTTCATTTTAATTAATCTCATAAATGCTTCGAATAGTCTTAAATATATTTATTACCTATCTGACCCCTGAGGGTCATGTTTGTGTATCTTATCTTTGTTTTTTACTTTGTTGTTTAACGTCACACTCATCACCAACCAAATTATATGTTTGAACCAGAGCCTGACCACCATATTCATTCGCCGCCTCTTACTACCAGCTTTGGTATACTGGAAGTAAATTCTTACCTGGAAGTCCCACGTATACATTTGACCTACTCTACTGTGTACAGGTACCTCGCCGTATGGGACTGAGATCATGCCCTTCATTGCCCTGCAGTCAGGAGCAGGGTGCACAGTGACGTCTCCGCCCACGTGTACAGCAGTAGCTCTCCGGGACCTCCACTGGGACCTCCATCACAGCCACGCCTACTATGTGTCAGTCAGGGTCACCAACACAGTAGGGCTGTCCACAGTGGCGGTAGCAGAACCCTACGTCCATGACGTCACGCTGCCCTCACCTGGTGTCGTCATGGATGTTTGCCCCGAAAATGAAGAAGAATTATTTCAGATAACGGTCAGTAAACGTAATTTCTTTACAGATAGTATTTCAAAGCAGAATACATGCGTTTAACGATTGATCACGATCTCACTGCTTCAGCGTAAATGATGAACTCATTTTACTTTGAGTGTAGGAAATTTAATTTGCATGAGTCGGAATCATACAATCGAGGCTGCTTGTGGCCGTGGAAAGCGTTTTGCTGCATTTCTTTGGCAAGTTCTCCGCCTTTAGCAATATTCCTTCAATATCACGACAGGAAACACCATTGTATTCATATGGGGAATCGTACCCGGACCTTCGAAGTGACGAGCGAAAGCTTTCACCATTGGGCTACCCAACCCCTCATTAATTTGCACCATGGCTGTGACAGTGTCCTTAAACATTGCAGGAACTGCGGGATTCCGACTACCAACTGTCTACACAAGGGCTGAAGGCGAGGTGGTATGGGTTTGATGACGACATGTTGAACGTGACCTACAGGGCGGGGATTGGCACCAGGCCCGGGGTAGTTGATGTGAGAGGCTATGAAGACACAGGGCACTTGCTACAGCATCAGTTCACGAATCTACTGCTGAACACGTCACAGGTGACATTTGCATAAGTACATAGACCTGCATTGTAGTTGAGAGTTTTACTTACTCATATATTTAAATAATGAATTTAGTCTGTAAAAGCAGTATAGACAGAACGGAACAACTTACATATATCAATCCAAAGTTGAAGCTGATCAATATTACAGTCACATGTTCCTTCAATGAAATCCATGGTTGACCAGTACATTCAGTGGTTGAAGAGCGAAGCAACTGTCTGCTTTTTCTGCTGCATACAACACTCAGACATATTGTTACGTGTCAATTTCCAAATTGAAACAAGATGTTCAGCCAGAAATCGGTAACAAAAACAACAAACAACTAACAAGTGGTATCAACAAATTCAATACAAAAATTAACTAGTTTTACAAATCCTTACAAATTACTGTGCAGCAATTACAATGGCAGTACACAATAAAATGGTAGCACAATATTCAATGGCAATGTATAATATGATGGCAGTGGTCAGTATCAAATACACAAAGACAGTGGTGATAGCAAAGGTGGGTGATAATAATATATATTCACCCAGCGACGACAGTGGTCAAGCTTCCGAGATGGGCTAGGCAGAGATGATGAGCGATCATCATTTGAAAGCTGGTTCCGATGTGATCGAATGTGTGAGAAAAACGTTAAGACAGTATTGAAAACGCTTATATACCACCCACCCAGCCACTGGAAAGTTCCATACAATGCCGTCACACTAACACCGTCCGCGGTATACCGAACCGGAAGTTTACACACCACACCAGCATCTAAATATAGTAACTTCCTGACGACTGATCACTGTCCAAGCACAATGCAATGAGCGGCCAATGTACTGTACAGTGTACACATGTTTTATGATGCGTTGATGCATCCTATTGATAGTTCATTGATGCATTCATTGTATCAGTAAACCATTAGTTAACGTTATACTTATGCTAATCATGATAATAGCAACAATGACATAATTTCAACATATGCATAACTACTACATTGTCTGAATTTCTTCTTGCAGAAATATTACACAACTGTTGTGGCTAAGACGGCTGGTGGCGAGGTGACCCAATCTTCTGATGGTGTTTACATTATCATCAACAACGCTGACATCTCTGATATGACGATAAATGATGGTCGTCGATGTGATTCCATTCAAGGTTTTGTCTAAGAGAAGTTCAAGAAGAACGTTTAACTATCTTGTTACGGGATGATTTGCAAACTGAAATGCGTACAGAATACAATTGTGAAGTCAGTCAATAACCACAGAAGATAAACGAATAACAGAAAAAAACATATATTGAGACACACAGTTTTAGGCTTACGATCACAAATGACAACATAATGGGTTAAAAAAGTGGCAGCATCATTATGGAACAGGTCTTCATAACAAATATACACTCACGAAGTTCAGAATTTGTCACAGTCGAATATCTTGAACGAAGCACGTGCTCTGTCTCTTGAATCCGGAATAGTGTCGGAAGCTCGGAGGAAGTCGGTGTTTACCGCACTGGACAAGTAGATAAGAAGCTAGTCAGGTCAGAGAAGGCCTCGTGTCGTCCTCACCTCGTTCTTATATAGGTACGGCCAGCCTTCTAGACACTGTCACCTCACCTCATTTCCCGAATGATGTAGTCTGTCCCAGAATTCAATGATGCACACATGTGGATAACTCTGAAATTTTCTGGCCGTCGCAGACTGCTGAAATCTGGCCACAAAACAGCTTGATATTATAAGATCGCTTCATTTGCTGCCTTGCTGCCATATTTGTCTTGTTGAGAAATGACCTGCTGCCTACTTTGTGATCACCTACTTTCCCTTTTGAAATGTTGCAGGAACGCAGGATTGGAATCCTACACATCATAACATGGTGAGTCAATCAGTGACTGTGCAATAATTAATTGATCATGTTTCATAATTATTTAATAATATATCCTCCTGATTCCTGTTTCAGTCTGCCGTTTCACAAGGATCAGGTATCTGTTAGTATATCCTCTTGTTTGATGTTTAGGTCTGCTTGTATGGCTGTCACGAGGACTAGGTATATGTTGGTATATCCTCTTGTTTGATGTTTCAGTCTGCCGTGTTTTGCTGTCACGATGAATAGGTATATGTTGGTATATCCTCTTGTTTCATGTTTCAGTCTGCCGTGTATGGCTGTCACGAGGACCAGGATTATCAGCTATCAACCTCCATGTTCGCCGCCCACTGGAACATCACACAACAATATACCCACCAGTACCCAGATGTCAAGTGGAAGCTGGAAAGGAGGTTCGCTTCATCAGGTACTGATAGATAACAATAAGCCTTCATGATGTATCAAACATTTAATATCGGGTGACAGCCGTCCTCACTATGGTTATATTTTACATAACATGAAGTTCTGTGCAGGTGTTATATACTTCCGCATGACACCACGTAGACGACAGTGTACGCCAATCTAAATTGTGACGCATATTAAACGTACACGGACTCTCGCCAAAGAAGTATAAACAATCTCCAATCTATCTATTGATATGTTATCTCTTGTGTTAAATATAAAAAAACGACTTTCAGACTTTAGCCCCTGCAATGTTGGAGACTGTCAATGCTGTATACTAAGGCCATTATTGTTTAATATGTTCATAAATGACTTAGCTCTATAAATTGAGTCATTTGAACCAGGCATCCAGTTTCCCCCAGAGTTTCTTCAGCTGTCTTTATTATTGTTTGCGGGGGATGTAACTTTAATTGCTGATACTGGATTTGGCCTACAGAAGCGCATGGATGTTCTTAGAGATTATTGCCATACATATTCATTAACGGTTAACTTTGATAGAACTATAGCAGTGAAGTGGTTTTCAATAAGGGGTGTTTTTTTCTAAACATGACACATGGTATTATGGCGATGTAAGATAAGAATGTGTGTTCGTCTTATAACTATTTGGGTGTATCGTTCTTAGAAACTTCAAATTGGTCTAACTATGTATGCAATGCTGCTCTTCAGGCCAAACAAATACTGTTTTATATCTTAAAATCACTCAGGAAAGTAAAACCCTTTGATTATAAAGTATTTTACAAGATATTTGAAACTAAATTAGCACCAATATTGTTATATAGAGCTGACATTTGTGGTTTAAGAAACCATAAAGAAATGGAACAGATCCATATATATGCGTGCAAACACTTCTTAGACGTTTAGTCTTTCGAAACCCGGTCAGGTCGTAAGAGGTGAGTGCGGTAGATATCCTCCATACATATCAGCATATAAGCGTTGTATTACTTATTGGTGTAAGGTTATATCGATGTGAAATAGCCGTTACCCAAGAAAGAGCTATAATCTGTAATGAAGCTGTAAATGGCAAGATTAATTGGGTATCCAAGGTGCAATACTCTATTTTAATTTGATTTCGACTATATTAAGGAAAACCAATCAGATTCTTACCCAAAGCTATTTATTTTTGAATTTGTATATATATATATATATATATATATATATATATATATATATATATATATATATATATATATTCATGAGCAAGAAAATGTGTACCATCACCTTAATTAAATGACATTTCTGTGTCAAACCATATCTTCTAAATATCAATATAGATAAATATTGCACTGCACTTTCCCGCTATCGTTGCAGTTCTCATACACTCCCTATTTAAGTGGATAGATATATCGATGTCCCAAGAGACCAAAGATTTTGTAACCTCTGTAACATTGGTCTTATCGAAAACTATTGCCATTTTCAATTAATTTGTAAAACATATAATAATCTTAGACAAATATATAACCGGAAAATATTGCATTAAATAAGTTTAACATATCGTTTTTATCATGCCATACTGAAACCGTGAAAAAACTTTCATTATATGTATACCATGAAAGTTAGAAGCTTTTTAATGTCCAATGTGGACCTGACTACCTAAATATACAATTGGTCGATGGCCTACATTGCGAAATAAATAAAGAATTAAGCAAAAGTAAGCATGCCAATCTATGACATGTTCTTTACCTGTAATTAACCTGAAATGCAAATCTAGTTGTTGCTTCTTGCTTGCTCGTTGTTTATTCATGCAGTTTGTGTTGGCATGTTGTCATGCTTATTATGTTGTCATGATCATTGTGTTATCATGCTCAGTGTCAAACCAAAACCCCCGCCTAAAGTTTGATCTTTCATATCGAATGAATATCTACGTAATAGTCATATGCATACCTTCTTTACCATGTTCAGATGACCTCTGGCACACAGAAAGGGAGTATGAGTACACTGGACACCGCGACCACGTACTGTCCACGGGACTGGATCTCAGGTCGGGCTACACGTTCAGGGCGGCTGTGAAGCTGTGTGTTGTGAACGCCTGCACTGACGCCGTGTACAGTAACGGAGTTACAGTGCTACACCACCCACCTGTAAGCGGCAACATCAGCGTGAACTACACCAACACCGACACAGGCTCCAAGGTGATGAGGGCAAATCTGATGGACGTCTCTACTTGTATTCTCCGACGCCGTTAAGCATATCTAAACAAATGCATGCATTGGTTTTATCATTTGTCAAAGGGCATACCCTGAAACGTTTGTGTTTACAAGTAACTAAAGAGTATGTCATTTACAGGTAGGGGCGGGGGGCAGCTGAAATCTTGTACTTACATCATGGCTTTGGTCGATGCTTTAAAGGTCACATCGAAGATACACTGCCAATTCATTCTATTTGACAACATCCTAATTAACATGTTGAAATATGTGTCGAGTTATATGAGCGAATTCCATGATATGATTTGTGTACAGAATGATATTCACGTACAGAGAGCTGACCAATGGATTTCCACTTTTCACCAGTTCTATCTTCATTAATGCCACAGCTTCTAAAATGCTCCTCAGAGATACTGTTTTGCACAATTGCTAACAATAAAAATGATAATTTACTGTGCTTATGAACCGCATCGGCGGCGAAAGTTTAGTGGCACGGGGATTATTTTACCATAAGTCTCTATACAGGCCTTCCTTCCTCACCTTCCTGCGTCCATTGTTCCAGCTTGAGGTGACCATGGCAAGGTTTGCTGACCCGGACATGCCAGTGAAGACTGAAGCGTATGGCGTTGTAGACAGATATGAATGGAGTTTAACAGACAGTGACCACGACAGCAGGCTTCTGACAACGTGGCAGCCAGTGTCAGACAGCACAACCAGCGAGGATGTGGTACGTTGGATGAGGAAAGTGAATGTTGTTGAAAGCCGCAGTCAGCAAAAGTCAAGCTTTATCAATGCGGCCTGTAAATACCAGTGGTTGATATCGTAAGGAACGTCCCACCGATCTCATTTAACTGCTCATTACGACATGTTGTTTTCATATTGGCCTTGTTCAGGTCCAAGGTCAGTCTGTTGGCCCTAGGGTGACAATATTGGCCCGATCCATTAGAACTTTCACAGCTATTTCGCCCTTGATGCTTAGTCAAGGAAACTGTTTACTACCGCCATTCACACACTTGGCACAACAAGGAAGTAATTATTGCCTGACGCCGCACAACTGTATTCCTGCCACGCGACTGCTGTCTGTAAACAAACCAGACAGTATTCCATTTTCATCGCTATTTTGCGTCTTCGCCCAATGGAATCCGTTTCGTCGGATACTCGTGACTGATTACTCTCTAACGTTGACGTCATATACCTACTCTAACCCGGGGAACCACGAGGTAGGATTGTATCTAATCTGGATGACAAGTACAGATAAATCACAACACTGTTACTCCCCACACAACGGTTGTTCCAGATGACATTCCGTGTTCTGCTGCCCAAACGCCTGGACTTCAGTAAGTGCCGTCGTCTTGCTGTTCGTGGCTACAACAAAGTGGGGCTCTCCACCACCGTATCCGCCGACGTGAGAAACTGTGCTGTCCCTGCCATCGTCATCGATGTTGTTGGTAAGGAATTTGCATGATTAAAAGACACTACAGATTAAGGACAATGTTTTGGATATTTCCAAACATTATGGCTTTGAGCATGCGACATTCGGATGATAATAATAAAAGTAAATGCGGATCCGCTTCTTGGGAGAAGTCCCATTCACTGTCTACGTGTAGTACCAGCATGTGCCAGGATCACCCAAACCCTCTTTGCTGCATTTCTAATTTTAGTCTGTACAAAAGTCAAGGATGTGACATGAGGCCCATTTGCTGTTTTGTTTTTCATCTGAAAAACATAATAATGATAATAATCAACTCCAATAATAAATTCATCATAAATAGTTGTAATTTAACCTGTCAGTTGGGCACAAAAGTTATTTACATATTTCCTGCGTTCCATATTATAGATATATCATCACTAATTATTAACCTCTTCATCTGAACCATATTGTGCTATTTTCCAAATATTCCTCCACTCAACGAGTGTCATGTAAGTTACCATCCTGCTTCCAGGCGCCAGACAAGTTGCTGATGTCGGGGACCCCATCACCCTGGAGAAGAATGACAGGTGGAACCTCGCTGATGCTGACTACACCCCCTACAGGAACATCCTGTCTGCTGTGTGGCCGACACTCCGTCACAGGAACTACACGTGGGCAGTGGTGTCAGGTGACCAGGTGGACCCCTCCTCCCACTACAAGAGAGAGAGTCTGATGACCTTCACTGACCCCTGTAGCATGCCGGATGTCATCAAGTGCGGGCACACAGGTAGTGGATTAACGAGAATTAGTATGTTCATTCCTCAAGGCCACAAGAACCCTCAAAACGAAAGCTGAATACATAACATATCCGAGAAAGTGAAATGCATACTACTTTGCACACCACTACTTTTACATAAAGGCGATATATTTAAAGATGAAGACTGGGTGGTTAATGAATCAGAAATGCCCAAAACAACATATGCCGCTCCATATGCAGAAGAAATTGCATCGGATAAGAGATGAAGAGTATTATTTGTCTCCAAAAATAGAACTATTACAAAAAAATAGACACATACATTCTTGTGCAAATTGTGTGAGTGGTGGGTGCTACGGGTAGGACAAAACATGCTTGCCCTTTTCGCGAACACCTGGTGTTATCACTATTTTTCAGTGATTCATTCAAAAAATGTTCAGCCCAATTTTGCATTTTACGCCAAATGGAATGTTACATGATTGATGTCTGGTGTTTCAGACAAGGAAGTTATAAACGTGGCCTTTGCCGAGACAGAACGACGGCTTGTTCACGGGAGGAGGTATTATGTGTGTGTTCATGCTGATGCCAGAACCGTGGAGAACGAGAAGTGGACAGAGGACTTACCAGAGGTCAACTCGTGTAGTGACGGGGTCACGGTGGACGTGACACCACCGAGCGGAGGAAGGGTGTTTCCGGGTGGACCCACCAGTCCCACCTTCCAGGTGCAAAAGTCAGCTCAGTCTCGTCAGTGGTTTACTCCTGATAACATTCTGACCCGTTATACTCAACATAAGAATTTCATGTCTCTTTGATAATTTAATATCTATTCATTACCTGCAATTGACTTCCATACATTTTGTACCTTGGCATCAGTTGAGATTGGCACAAGTCTCATGTAGTTTATGTAAAGCGAGGTAATATATGTATGTGTGAAATGATGTTCATGAGCACTGAAACCTTCTCACTCGTGGTACATATGTCATTTCCAAGAGTGCTGTTAAGCGTTTGTTCAATGGTAGTTTTCCGAAGACACCTTACCATTTCTGGTGTCCCCTACCGTTATGTTGCTTTAGTATTGCTTTTTGTGGCAATACCATTCTCACCCATAGGACCATTGCTGTTTTTTGTTGAGTGAGATTGTGAACTACAGGTATGTTTGTTTAGACTAGCACGAGTGAGATGGTGGTCTACTGGGACGGCTTCACTGATGTAGAAGAGGAAGGGTCTTCTCCACACCCCAGTGGGATAGTATATTATGAAGTTGCTCTGGGTAGGTCTCTATAAAATGTTCACCCTGCAGTGATTCCGGTTAAGAATATGCGCGAAGAAGCCTTTGCTGGTCGTGAGGGGCGAGCTAGGGGCGATCGAGTGGTCAGGTTAGGTGACTTGGGTGCCTGCGTGTCGTCATACAGCTGATTTATTCCAGAGTGGACCAACAAACAAACATAATATCTTGTCCTCTTATTGTGACATTGACAGTGGTTTTGGCGAAGCAAGAATCTTGAAGTGTGGATATTATGTCAGTTGTCAACTGGGGAAACCCCTTCTAGTTTACTTAAATAAATCTTATGAAGGTCATCTAGAACATACAAGATTACACATTACTGGCATCTACAGGCTACACACAACATCGACAGAACAGATTACTGAAAGTAAAAACGGTACGGCAGGCGGCAGATTGCTTTTAACCTTTAAAAGGGACAATAACTTAATCAAGCTTATGAAAGGAATCATTACTTTCGTGTAAAAACGTATACCAGCTTCAAGTATTGACTTTCACACCAATATGTTATGCAATAAGAGACATTTTACATTCTGCCAGGTCTGATTGCTGACCGGAAGAGATTTATGTCAGTCATAGATAATTATCAATATTAACAGTCTTATATTTTACGATAGGTCGTTATCACAGAACCGAGTCGCTTCACAGCACCAGGCTCTAGCCACGTGTAAGCTTGATGGCTTCACAGCACCAGGATCTAGCCACGTGTAAGCTTGATGGCTTCACAGCACCAGGCTCTAGCCACGAGTACGCTTGATTGCTTCACAGCACCAGGCTCTAGCCACGTGTAATCTTAATGGCTTCACAGCACCAGGCTCTAGCCACGTGTAAGCTTGGTGGCTTCACAGCACCAGGCTCTAGCCCCGTGTAAGCTTAATGGCTTCACAGCACCAGGCTCTAGCCACGTGTAAGCTTGGTGGCTTCACAGCACCAGGCTCTAGCCACGTGTAAGCTTGGTGGCTTCACAGCACCAGGCTCTAGCCACGTGTAAGCTTGATGGCTTCACAGCACCAGGATCTAGCCACGTGTAAGCTTGATGGCTTCACAGCACCAGGCTCTAGCCACGAGTACGCTTGATTGCTTCACAGCACCAGGCTCTAGCCACGTGTAATCTTAATGGCTTCACAGCACCAGGCTCTAGCCACGTGTAAGCTTGGTGGCTTCACAGCACCAGGCTCTAGCCCCGTGTAAGCTTAATGGCTTCACAGCACCAGGCTCTAGCCACGTGTAAGCTTGGTGGCTTCACAGCACCAGGCTCTAGCCACGTGTAAGCTTGGTGGCTTCACAGCACCAGGCTCTAGCCACGTGTAAGCTTAATGGCTTCACAGCACCAGTCTCTAGCCACGTGTCAGACTTGATGGCTTAGGAGCACCAGGCTCTAGCCACGTGTAAGCTTGATGGCTTCACATCACCAGGCTCTAGCCACTTGAAGCTTGATGGCTTTACAGCACCAGGCTCTAGCCACGTGTAAGCTTGGTGGCTTCACAGCACCAGGCTCTAGCCACGTGTAAGCTTGGTGGCTTCACAGCACCAGGCTCTAGCCACGTGTAAGCTTAATGGCTTCACAGCACCAGTCTCTAGCCACGTGTAAGCTTGATTGCTTCACAGCACCAGGCTCTAGCCACGTGTAAGCTTAATGGCTTCACAGCACCAGGCTCTAGCCCCGTGTAAGCTTGATGGCTTCACAGCACCAGGCTCTAGCCACGTGTAAGCTAAATGGCTTCACAGCACCAGGCTCTAGCCACGTGTAAGCTAAATGGCTTCACAGCACCAGGCTCTAGCCACGTGTAAGCTTGGTGGCTTCACAGCACCAGGCTCTAGCCACGTGTAAGCTTAATGGCTTCACAGCACCAGGATCTAGCCACGTGTAAGCTTGATGGCTTCACAGCACCAGTCTCTAGCCACGTGTAAGCTTGATGGCTTCACAGCACCAGGCTCTAGCCACGTGTAAGCTTGATGGCTTCACAGCACCAGGCTCTAGCCACGTGTAAGCTTGATGGCTTCACAGCACCAGGCTCTAGCCACGTGTCAGACTTGATGGCTTCCTGTACCAGGGTGACCGGTAAACTGTAGAGTAACTCCGACGTCTCTTTCGTAGGTTCTGATCCTGGAGGGAAGGACTTGGTTGCAAGACGGAGAGGGTGTTTGGTGAACCACGCTATCCTGCACGGCCTCCGGCTACACGACGGGCACACCATCTATGCGTCGGTGACAGGTACAAGTCAATGACGACACAATCCTGACACAATTTGTGTTCCTATTATCTGGTATTGCATAGACGGGTGGTGTTGTGACACAATATACATGTATCTGACATTATATGGTGACAGAATAAACATATATCTGACATTGCATGTATGACATTGTACAGATGGATGGAAACAGAATATACATATATCTGACATTGTATGTATGACAGCGTACAGATGGATGGTGACAGAATATACATATATCTGACATTGTATATATGACATTGTACAGATGGATGGTGACAGAATATACATATATCTGACATTGTATGTATGACAGCATACAGATGGATGGTGACAGAATATACATATATCTGACATTGTATATATGACATTGTATAGATGGATGGTGACAGAATATACATGTATATGACATTGTATATTTGACATTGAACAGATGCATGGTGACAGAATTCACATATATCTGACATTGTATGTATGACATCGTACAGATGGATGGAAACAGAATATACATATATCTGACATTGCATGTATGACATCGTACAGATGGATGGTGACAGTATATGCATTTATCTGACATTGTATATATGATATTGTACAGATGGATGGTGACAGAATATGCATATATCTGACATTGCATGTATGACATCGTACAGATGGATGGTGACAGCATATGCATTTATCTGACAGTGTATGTATGACATTGTACAGATGGATGGTGACAGAATATACATGTATCTGACATTGTATATATGACATTGTATAGATGGATGGTGACAGAATATATATATATCTGACATTGTATATTTGACATTGTACAGATGGATGGTGACAGAATGTACATGTATCTAACTTTGTATATTTGACATTGTACAGATGGGTGGTGACAGAATATACATGTATCTGACATTGTATAGATGGATGGTGACAGAATATACATGTATATGACATTGTATATTTGACATTGTACAGATGGATGGTGGGAGAATATACATATATCTGACATTGTATAGATGGATGGTGACACAGTTTACACCTATCTGACATTGTGTAACAGTGTATATGTCAATATATATCACTGGTACAGTGCGTTGTTCATCTGACGTGAATCACTGGTTAATGACATTGCAGTAATAAAGGATCAATGAACAAATAAATATAATAGATAAAAGCATATCTCGACTGATCCTTCAATTTACGCATTTTTGATATTTGATAATATATTGATAAAAAGGTTCCTTGTTACAAAAAAAAATTGTTTTGTGGATCACTGCCAGCGTCTCCTGTTGCAGCCACGGACTTTGTGAACAAGAGCAGGACAGTCATATCGTCGGGGGTGTTGATTGACTCCACGCCGCCAGTGACGTCAGGGGGATCAATACATTTCTCTGGGCAATACATAACGAAGTCTGTGATAGATGTGTGGTAAGTGATACAGTTAGTGTCCACCAATAATACAGTTAGAACTTGACATAAAGTGAATCTGATTGTTGGTTTCCTTTGCTGGTGAGATTGTTTTCAGTTTGAAAGTATTGACTGTCTGTGGCGTGCTTGTTCAAGCTGGGACGGTGCTCTGTCTGACCCAGAGAGTGGCATCGCAAGCTATGACGTGGGGGTGGGGTCGAGACCTGCCCATGACGACGTTGTCAAGTACACATCTACAACGGACCAGTGTATGGTTATCGACGGCGGGGCAACCCTATTAGACGGGCATGTCTACTTTGTCTCAGTGAAGGTAATGTATTTATCAATTTATATATTCTGTATTTGTAGCTTCAAGCCATATGAAAGCTTAACTCTCAACAAATGCACAACCTTATTTCTACGTATACAATAGTAAAAGTGTCAACCTGCAATATATCATACTATAATGTCTTAGTCGTGCACTAGGGATACAACAAAGTAGGCCTGCACAGTCTCATCACTTCACGACCTGTGACGGCGGACAACACACCGCCCTCTAGGGGCCACGTGTATGATGGACAACGAACCAAAGTTAGAGGCCAGGCAAAGGACGCTGACTTTGTCACCCTGATGTCGGAGATGGGTTCCTACTGGGAAGGGTTTTCTGACCCACACTCGTCAATCAGTCACTATCTCCTCCAGGTGGGCACGTGTCGGGGATGTGACGACACGCTCGCTCAGTCACACGTGGGAGCAAGAACAGGTAAAAAGCAAAACTGTTCCTTAAATATCATTGATAACGCAAAACAGTCCTCACTGTACTGGGTGTGAGTAAGTTTGTCTGCCGCTTCAAGAAATATTCCATCAATCTTACGGCGGGTCATCAGAAATGGGCTTCACACATTGTACCCATGTGGGGAATCGAAACCGGGTCTTCGGCTGGACGAGGTAACACTTTAACAACTAGGTTACCACACCGCCAACCTTACTGGGACAATCTTGATATTAGTTTTTGAGGTTCGTTGTCCATCAATGTACAGAAAGCGTCCTCTTGTCTGGTGTAACAGGCTTAGGACTGATGGTATAACCTTGGTATTACATGTCTACATTTATACCCCATCATCTGATTGTTGTAATAATATCCATGAAGGCACACTGCGGTAAAACGTGTGTGTTTCATTGTTGTAAAAATATTTATGAAGGTCTACTGTGGAAAAATATGCGTGTCTCATTGTTGTCCTAATATTTATGGGGATATATTGCGGCTACCCTGTACGTGTCTAATTGTAATAATATTTATGAAGGTATACTGCGGCAAAATGTGTGTGTGTTATTGTTGTACTAATAGTTATGAAGGCATACTGCAGTAAAATGTGTGTGTCTCATTGTTGTACTAATAGTTATGAAGGCATACTGCGGTAAAATGTGTGTCTAATTGTTGCACTAATACTTATGAAAGTATATTGCGGCTACCCTGTGCGTGTCTAATTGTTGCAGATGTGGGTTTCTATGACATCGCCTTCAAGTGTGGCATGACGTATTACGTGACGGTGACCGCGTGTAACATGGCTAGTCTGTGCACCATGGCGACAAGTGATGGTGTCATCTTAGACGTGACCGCTCCACGAACTGGGAACATCATGGACGCAACCCGAGATGAAGATGTCCAATATCAGGCTTCCAGGTGATCATGATGCAACTCAATCTGTCATTTGCCATAGTATTATCAAATTTATTTAGAAACAGTAAATAAACCATTATTCATCTGTAAAATAAATTTAAAAAGAAGTTATTAAAGTACTTTCTGTTTTTCTGAGTTGGCCTGAACTGAAGGTTGTGATTTTAAAACAAAAGAATTACTGTATCATAAGTTCACATTATCCTGTCACTTAGTTCTGTGTGATTATTGTTTTCAGGACATTCCTTGGATGTAAGTGGCGAGGCTTCCACGACCCTGAGTCTGGGTTAGCCCACTATGAATGGCGTGTAGGGACAACACCAGGAGGTGACGAGATTCTCGCAGCAACGAATGCAGCCCTGGAGGAAGCCATCTTCCACACGCTGTCACGTGACCACCAACTTCCGGTTGGACAGACTCTGTTCACAACTGTCAGGGCCTACAACAAAGCAGGTTATGAGCTATAACGCACATCATTATTATCACCTCTCAGTAGAAATCAAAGCTGGCTATAGTCGAAAGACATTATTCATATATCATGACATGGGAAGCCTGTATGATGAATTGTAGCTGCAGTATGCACTGATCCGTTCCTCGTGTAATATGAGTTTGTCCAATAGGATATGTAGAAAAGTCTTGTTAATCCTAAAGCGCACATTGGCAGACATTTCATAGCCTCCAGTAGGCTGCACATTTGTTTATATTTTCATAATCTATATTCACCAATTTCTTGCTTAATCACCTACCTCCAAATACGTATACTTTATTTCTTCGAATGTGCACTTTGAATAAGTATTCCAGATCGGAAGCAAAAATATAAATAACTGATATGTTTGCACAACGTAGGGTTAATGTACAGAAATAACACTATAACACGGAATGCACTTAACAACGTATTTGGTTGTAAGTGACGAATAAGAGATCAGCATATGGAAAAAAAATATAATAATATTTGTCGTCATTCAGAGATGTAGAAGTGGGCAGACTTTACTTACGGGACGATCCGTATCCCCCAATTATGATGTGTAGAAAAATTGAATCAATCGAAAAAGGTTATGCGTATCCAAAACAGCTAGTTGTATATATGTTATCACTTTGTTGTGGCAGGATTATACAGTGAAATTACGTCCAACGGGTTTCTGGTTGACATCACTCCACCGGAAGTTGTTGTGACACCAGGGATCCTAGATGGACATGGTTCCATTGTGGCTGGGACGTCCATCAGCAGGACGACCTTGAGGATAGGCTGGAAGTTCAAGGACGAAGAGTCTTACATTGAGAGACAGTACCTCTCCATCTCATCACACCAGCTGGGGGAGTTCAAGTCAAGTCTCCTGAAGGTGACCGTCATTTGTTCATGTTAAACATGGTTTAGAAGCAAGGTGAAGTATACAACACCAATGGTAATATGTATCGCAATCTATATCATCTACATCTACAAAACTGTGAACACACTCAACATCCGCATCTTATAACATTATAATCACGGTTTCTATAATCAATGGATTTGATATCTCATATAAAGCGCATTTATTACAAACATAACACTATTCTATTTCTACCTTTCCTAAAGTTGCCAGGACTTGTTGAAGAATACACGCTGTCACAGCTGGACCTCCACGATGGAAGCAGCTACACAGTGAAGCTCGTCGCCTGCAACATGGCCGGCTCATGTCATTCCTCAGACACTGGGGCCTTGCTGGTGGACAGCTCGAAACCCTTGACAGGTAACAACACACAGTAATGTGTCCATGAATCACTGACAGGTAACACACAGTAATGTCTGCATGAATCTTTGACAGGTAACACACAGCAATGTATCCATGAATCATTGACAGGTAACACACAGTAATGTCTCAATGAATCATTGACAGGTAACACACAGTAATGTCTCCATGAATCTTTGACAGGTAACACACAGTAATGTATCCATGAATCATTGACAGGTAACACACAGTAATGTATCCATGAATCATTGACAGGTAACACACAGTAACGTATCCATGAATCATTGACAGTTAACACACAGTAATGTATCCATGAATCATTGACAGGTAACACACAGTAATGTATTCATGAATCATTCACAGGTAACACACAGTAATGTATCCATGAATCACTGACAGGTAACACACAGTAATGTATCCATGAATCATTGACAGGTAACACACAGTAATGTATCCATGAATCATTGACAGGTAACACACAGTAACGTATCCATGAATCTTTGACAGGTAACACACAGTAATGTATCCATGAATCATTGACAGGTAACACACAGTAATGTATCCATGAATCATTGACAGGTAACACACAGTAACGTATCCATGAATCTTTGACAGTTAACACACAGTAATGTATCCATGAATCATTGACAGGTAACACACAGTAATGTATCCATGAATCATTGACAGGTAACACACAGTAATGTATCCATGAATCATTGACAGTTAACACACAGTAATGTCTCCATGAATCTTTGACAGGTACCACACAGTAATGTATCCATGAATCATTGACAGTTAACACAGTAATGTCTCCATGAATCTTTGACAGGTCACACACAGTAATGTATCCATGAATCATTGACAGTTAACACACAGTAATGTGTCCATGAATCTTTGACAGGTAACACACAGTAATGTGTCCATGAATCTTTGACAGGTAACACACAGTAATGTATCGATGAATCTTTGGCAGGTAATACACAGTGATGTCTCCATGAATCCTTGAAAGGTAACAAACAGTAATAAATCCATAAATCCTTGACAGGTGACACACAATACTGTATCCATGATTCTTTGACAGGTAACACAATACAGTCTTCATGAATCGTTGACAGGTAACACACAGTTATGTCTCCACGAATCATTAAACAGGTAACACACAATACTGTATCCATGAATCTTTGACAGGTAACACAACAGTGTCTCCATGGATCTTTGACAGGTAACACAACAATGTATCCACGAATGTTTCACTTTACCCTCACTAACACGGTTCTGTGACTGTAATGCAGGTGCGCTAGCTGTGCACACCGACCATGCAGCGGGGTTGTCTCGACACCAGTCGGGCTGGATGACATGGAACAGGACCCGGCTGAACCTCGCCTGGCTTGGCTTCTCTGATCTCCATTCTGGAATAACGCACTACATCATCACGGCGGGGTCTGCTGAGTTCGGAACGGACCTTACTGAGGTAGAATCACGTTCATACTAAAAACACATTACAACGATTTAAAAATCGTTGGTTCCAGGTTATATAACACTAATGTGTCGTTGTTATGACGTATGCACAGTTTCAAAAATAGTGTAACTTTGACACATGTATGGATGAACAGAAATGTAGTAGGGCTACTAACATACTGGAAGAAACAACATAGGTGCATAGAAGAAAACTTACAGATTTGTGAACGTGAGTGGCAAATTGTTCATAAATTGCCTAAACTCATCGCAGGGCTAAAGAGCCCCAAGTCACGTTGTTGGTGCATTTTGAGATGGGGAGGTGTGATGAGGTGAGATGTAATGGGGTGGAATGGGGTTTTAACGTTGTGCTCAAGATTATTGCACTTCTATAGCGACGTGGTGTGTGTGTGTGTGCGTGCGTGCGTGCGTGCGTGCGTGCGTGCGTGCGTGTGTACACTGAGATACCACACAGACACGGTGTTCTGACTCTGAGCTGACCAGTCCGGTCTGGTGCATCTTGAAACCACCTTGACATCATTTACCAACTGATACTTGTGTCTGTTTCAGGGAGGCACATTTGTGCTGGTACAACACAATGTATCTGGTATTGAGCACGATGACGAAGGCAGCGTTCAGACTGGTGTAGTAGACACAAAGGACATCACTTCCACGCCGTCTGTGTTTGTGGCAATCTGGGCTGTCAACGGGGTAGGTGTTACATCCTAAACCTGTTCCTGAACACCTGGTTTTCAGAGATCCATTCATATTATAAACCTACTGGCTGTTTGTGTAAATCGATATGGAGTTTTTGAAATTGTGGTAACACCTCGTAGGAGGTATTAAAACGATTGTAACACATCGCACGAGGTATTACAACGATTGTAACACCTCGCAGGAGAACAAAAACTACGAACAGCCTAAGAGACGCACGTGCAGATTTCGTGCCATTGCGAGACGCACGTGCAGATTTCGCACCGTTGCGAAACCCACGTGCTGAGGTCACCGGTTTCATTAAACCGAGTTCACGGCTGCAGGCGATATTTCATCTCCGATACAGGTTATTTGAGAGTTTTTATGACAGTTATTTAATTATAAACGTTGTCTATGCGATGAGTGGGTTAATAATTTAAACCATGTCTCCTGGAGATTACTAGAGATTGTAAACCTTGACATGAGGGAACGCCCCGAGGGGGCCTTACGGTCTTACGGCCCCCTCGGGACGTTCCGTCCTGTATTTGTGCCATATTTACACTGCTGATTTGGCTTTTACTCCTGGTACTCTCGCGTTGACGTTTTAAATTTACAACTCACGAACACCCAAAACATTCCCATAGAATTAACCTAGTTATGTTTCTATGTTCAATGTGTATTCCTTGTGACCCAGGTTGGCCTCCAGAGTGATGCGCTTCACCTGGAGCTGGAACTAGGAGCCTGGGGGAAGCTGGAGCTGGTCAGACGCTGTCAGTCGTACAACTGTGAGGGTCACTGTGTCTGTGCCGTGCAGGACAGGACGTGCCACCACACACGCGGATGTACACAGCTGCAGGATGGTACGTCACAAGTGATGTCTCCACAGGGAGGATCTAACTCGGTTGCAATAACAATAACAGAATGTCTGTTCACAGCAAATATTGATCATTGTGATAAGAACCAGTAATCACTCGTGCATGGCGGTATATGTTACACTTTATATCCTAGGTGGGCCAAACAATGTTCTGAATGTGACCGACGTCACTGACCTCCGCTTCTCAACATCCGGGGACATTGACCACTCACCATCAGACACCTTTATGGCTGCCCATTGGACGGTGCTGAAACAACAAGGGCTGACTTTCACACAGTACAGTTTCTCTTATTACTTAATATCTAAACTATTTGTAAAAGTTGCTTGAAATAACTCATCGTTGTGACAACAGTGTGCAAGGTATCCCAGACAGTTTGTTGTTGGCTGCAGGTATGAGGTCAGTCTTGGAGTCAGTGACAGCGACTACCCCAAGGGTGTGTTTGACAGTCACTCCCACAAAGTCTGGTTCAGCGTCGGGCGGCAAACATCAGCTGTCATCCTTCTGGCACACGGTACTGACTCACCTACCGATCATCCGATCTTTATTCAGAATTTTACAAGCGATCTTAGTGCTAAGACTATACTATACTCCCATACTTGACCAATGACCTACGGCAGTCTAAGCGATAATATCTGATATAAACTAAAAACGAAATGTTTAGTATCAAACTATGTGTTGTAGTATTCATTTACAAAGCAATGGATGAGAAGGGATGTTTGTAAGAGAGTATGAATAATAAGGGACTATTCCGACTAACTGTCGTGCTTGTGACCAAGGCGAGGACCTCAGCAGCCGGCACATGTATTACTTCTTTGTGAGAGGCTGGTATAATGCGACGACGTACAGCATCTTCAGGTCGGACGGGGTCATGGTGGACACAGCCCCTCCCAAGACCACCGACAACCAGGCACTCGCAGTGAGTCAACACACATTAGGTCTATTTTTTTAGACGTGGAGCAACGCAATCCAATGTTAATTATGTTGCAAGCATGTTGTCAGAATCTCATTGCTCTTCGTTAAATACAACTCCCGAACTGGCCAGAGGTCGATACAAGCTGTCACTGTCCGCTCAGTATGGACAACATGACGTCATAGTGTTTCATGTGTCGCCATCCGCTGGTCGCGTATAATTTACCTTGTCCACGTTTTGAGTAAACATACCGAAACCACTGGTGGTCGTAAGGTCGATTTGACATTGTCATTCAAACATATTTGATAGAAAATACGGCTCCTCATTTGTGAACATGTAACGATAGGTTCGCCCACTAGTGACACCTGCGACTCATAATTGTGAATGATCTCAAGATATTAAATGTTTCATATGTGCGTTCCACTTAGACTTTAGTCTTAATAATTATGCTGCCCTTGGAAGATGGTAAAATAGGCTTTATTTCCAGGACAATATCTAGTGATCTTTTTCGAGGACTTCACAAAATATTTCCGATGTTAATGTTTTCAGTCAGTGGTTTGCCTATCCAGATTCGACCATTAACTGCCCGTCACGGAATAACTAAATATTTACGATTGTGGGTTAAACGGCATTCACCCACTGAGTCTACGACACTGTATGTGCATGATGCAGGTGATAGAGCTCAGTGATGACGATAGAGTCAAGGATGCAGACTTTCAGATGGCGGCGGACACAATCAGGATCAGCTGGACCAACAAGTTCCTGCCGGGCGCCGCTGGGATTCTCAAGTACCGAGTCTACATCAGCACAAGCCCCGGGGGTGAGCGTTCTCAGTTTCCCAAATCCACCAACACAATACAGATCAGTATAGAAGTGTGCATGTATCTATAATGGACTGTTCTGGGTGAATGGCGTGCTGGTTTTCTTGGGGAATTAGTCAGCAAAGAGCCGGATTCACAGGAGACTAATCACAATCTTATTTACAAGAATAATTAACAATGAACAATTTTCAATTACTTAGAAAATAGCTGAGGGTGCCACAGAGAGTCGGTTCAACCCTCTGGGCTGTGGGAGAGAGGTCTGCTTGGTAAGAGAGTTATCATGATATAACATTTATAACTAAGTTTTCCTATAATATTTAGATCCACATCAAGTGCTTTTATGAGTCATTTCATATAATTATAGTTTAGCTAGTAATACTCATCATATCTAACCTGGAAGCAAAGGCCCCAGAACCAGCACATTACAGATCAGTATAGAAGTGTGCATGTGTCTAACCTGGAAGCTGATGTCCCAGGACCAACACATTACAGATCAGTATAGAAGTGTGCATGTATCTAACCTGGAAGCAAAGGCCCCAGAACCAGCACATTACAGATCAGTATAGAAGTGTGCATGTGTCTAACCTGGAAGCTGATGCCCCAGGACCAGCACATTACAGATCAGTATAGAAGTGTGAATGTATCTAACCTGGAAGCTGATGTCCCAGGACCAGCACATTACAGATCAGTATAGAAGTGTGAATGTATCTAACCTGGAAGCTGATGCCCCAGAACCAGCACATTACAGATCAATATAGAAATGTGCATGTATCTAACCTAGAAGCTGATGCCCCAGGACCAGCACATTACAGATCAATATAGAAGTGTGAATGTATCTAACCTGGAAGCTGATGCCCCAGGACCAGCACATTACAGATAAGTATAGAAGTGTGCATGTATCTAACCTGGAAGCTGATGTCCCAGGACCAACACATTACAGATCAGTATAGAAGTGTGCATGTATCTAACCTGGAAGCAAATGCCCCAGAACCAGCACATTACAGATCAATATAGAAGTGTGAATGTATCTAACCTGGAAGCTGATGTCCTAGGACCAACACATTACAGATCAGTATAGAAGTGTGAATGTATCTAACCTGGAAGCTGATGTCTTAGGACCAACACATTACAGATCAGTATAGAAGTGTGAATGTATCTAACCTGGAAGCTGATGCCCCAGGACCAGCACATTACAGATCAGTATAGAAGTGTGCATGTATCTAACCTAGAAGCTGATGTCCTAGGACCAACACATTACAGATCAGTATAGAAGTGTGCATGTATCTAACCTGGAAGCTGATGTCCTAGGACCAACATATTACAGATAAGTATAGAAGTGTGCATGTATCTAACCTGGAAGCTGATGTCCTAGGACCAACACATTACAGATCAGTATAGAAGTGTGCATGTATCTAACCTGGAAGCAAATGCCCCAGAACCAGCACATTACAGATCAATATAGAAGTGTGAATGTATCTAACCTGGAAGCAAAGGCCCAAGGACCAACAGATTACAGATCAGTATAGAAGTGTGCATGTATCTAACCTGGAAGCAAAGGCCCAAGGACCAACAGATTACAGATCAGTATAGAAGTGTGCATGTATCTAACCTGGAAGCTGATGTTCTAGGACCCACACATTACAGATCAATATAGAAGTGTGAATGTATCTCACCTGGAAGCTGATGTCCTAGGACTTACACATTACAGATCAAAATAGAAGAGTGCATGTATCTAACCTTGAAGCTGATGTCCCAGGACCAACACATTACAGATCAATATAGAAATGTGTTTGAATCTAACCTAGAAGCTGATGTGTCGGGTAGCCAATATCTAACCCCGAACATTGATTCATGGCTCACAACGCTTGTCATTCTACATACCTAGGAACTGATTGAACGACGACGATATGACTTTACTTTCACTGACTTATGTGTTATTATTATTGTAATTATTGTTATTATTATTCACTGAACATGGGAAATATAAGGATGCAATACCTGATAAATTATATAGGATTGTTAGGTTCGCATAGGTTCGACTCCCACTTGGGGACAATGTGTGAAACCCATTTCAGGGACACCTGTCGCGATATGGCTGACTATAACAAAACTCACTGACTCACTCAATAACTTCACTATTTCAGGACACAGTATCCACGCGTCAGACGACCTGAACACCACGAAGTACACAGCCAGGGGCCTGAGTCTACAAGCAGCCACAGTGTACTACTCCAGTGTCCTGGCCTACAACAGAGCTGGCCTGGTCAGCTGGGCTCACTCTGACGGTGTCCGGGTGGACGTGCTGCCTCCTGTAGCGGGCAGAGTGGATGACGGACAAGGTACGTTCCCTTCTACAGTATCAGCGCTTGAAGTGTTGTCTGTTGCTGTACGTCGCAATATTCCAGCTGTACCAGAGCGTTCTGTTTATTACTAAATAATGGAATGTTGAGAGAAGGGTTGACGTCGATACGATTACACAGCAGCAACCCCAGTGCCCGACCACCCTCGCACATCTTAGAGCAGGTCCAGTAACCGATGATTGTTCAGGTTCGGTGACTTGGTTGATAATGTGTCTTTGGTGAGCATCGTTGCTCATAGATCGTTTGTTCCAGATTAAATTATTAACAGACCACCATCATACAGCTGGAATAGTGCAGCGTTCAACATCGAACACTCAAACAATTTTCAATTGACCCAGGATCTCCACAGAGGTTACAATGCCTGGTGAAATGTGGTTACTTGTTGACTTGTGTAGTTACCTCCTCTTACTGTCTTTGTAGAGATGCTCGACACGGACTACCAGAGTTCTCCATCAGAGGTCTCCGCCTCCTGGCACGGCTTCTCTGACACGGACTCCACGATCATCACGTACTTCTGGTGTTTGGGAAAAGTCAACGACACAACAGACTGCAGTGTGCTGGGTTGGCGGGAGACTGGGCTTCATACCACCTTCACAGCACAACTTGCTTCAGCTCTCCCTAGTGGTATGTATCCTGATCAGGTTCATCTGGTCTTATCTAGAAACCAGCACGCCTACTGTTCACGTATTGATACTCAATGATGATTACCAAACCAAGCGTTAAGCGCCGACCCTAAAGATTGCACTCATCCTTCGTCCCAAACTTCCTGTGGAGGACAAATTGTCACCAAAGTAAATGTTCTGTAAAACAGCAAATTGTCAAAAGCAAGTAGCGAAATATGACATGTCCAACAGTGAAACTAAACTGAATTGTTTGATAGGCATTACTTAGAAGTTGACGGATGACAAAGTAGGCACAATTTATGGATAACAACCTCTTTAATACTGTAAAGGCGACGTTTCTGTATAGATCCACATACCGTTGTCAAGCAAGACGTTTCGGTATAGAGTCTTATACCTTTGTCAAGCAAGACGTTTCTGTATAGATCCTTATACCGTTGTCAAGCAAGACGTTTCGGTATAGATTCAGATACCGTTGTCAAGCAAGACGTTTCTTATAGATCCTCATACCGTTGTCAAGCAAGACGTTTCGGTATAGATCCTTATACCGTTGCCAAGCAAGACGTTTCAGTATAGATCCTCATACTTTTGTCAAGCAAGACGTTTCGGTATAGATTCTTATACTGTTGTCAAGCAAGACGTTTCTGTATAGATCCTTATACCGTTATCAAGCAAGACGTTTTGGTATAGATCCTTATACCGTTGTCAAGCAAGACGTTTCGGTATAGATTCTTATACCGTTGTCAAGCAAGACGTTTCTGTATAGATCCTTATACCGTTGTCAAGCAAGACGTTTCGGTATAGATCCTTATACCGTTGCCAAGCAAGACGTTTCGGTATAGATCCTCATACTTTTGTCAAGCAAGAAGTTTTTCGTATAGATTCTTATACTGTTGTCAAACAAGACGTTTCTGTATAGATCCTTATACCGTTGTCAAGCAAGACGTTTTGGTATAGATCCTTATACCGTTGTCAAGCAAGAGGTTTCAGTATAGATTCTTATACCGTTGTCAAGCAAGATGTTTCGGTATAGATCCTTATACTGTTGTCAAGCAAGACGTTTCGGTATAGATCCGTATACCGTTGTCAAGCAAGACGTTTTGGTATTGATCCTCATACTGTTGTCAAGCAAGACGTTTCGGTATAGATCCTTATACCGTTGTCAAGCAAGACGTTTCGGTATAGATCCTTATACCGTCGTCAAGCAAGACGTTTTGGTATAGATTCTTATGTCCTTGTCAAGCAAGACGTTTCGGTATAGATCCTTATACCGTTGTCAAGCAAGACGTTCCGGTATAGATTCTTATACCGTTGTCAAGCAAGACGTTCCGGTATAAATTCTTTTACCGTTGTCAAGCAAGACGTTTCTGTATAGATCCTTATACCGTTGTCAAGCAAGACGTTTCAGTATAGATCCTTATACCGTTGTCAAGCAAGACGTTTCTGTATAGATCCTTATACTGTTGTCAAACAAGACGTTTCAGTATAGATCCTTATACCGTTGTCAAGCAAGACGTTTCGGTATAGATCCTTATACCGTTGTCAAGCAAGACGTTTCGGTATAGATCCACATACCGTTGTCAAGCAAGACGTTTCTGTATAGATCCTTATACCGTTGTCAAGCAAGACGTTTCAGTATAGATCCTTATACCGTTGTCAAGCAAGACGTTTCTGTATAGATCCTTATACCGTTGTCAAGCAAGACGTTTCGGTATAGATCTTTATACCGTTGTCAAGCAAGAAACGTCGACTTTACAGAATGAAAGAAGTTGATATTCATAAATTGTGACTTCTTTGTGAAATTAAACGTTGAAAATCTTGTTCTGTCCACAGGGGTTTCAGGAAATAGGCTGTCATGCTTGGTAATGTTCTAGGTGGCGCCTAACTGTTTATAAAGTGAGACTTCAGGAAACGCCTGATAACGGTATTCCCTTGTTTCTAGGTACACGTTTATGGAGCAAGGTGTATGCTGTAGATGCAGTGGGTCACGCCTCAGACGTAACTGTATCAGACGGCGTTGTCATTGACACATCTCCCCCAGAACCACAGTCCGTGGCATACCTAGGGGGCAACTTGGTGAAGAATCCTTCGTTTGAGACACAAAATAAAGCTGTGAATTCATCGACGTACAATGAACCTCTTCCCGAGCACTGGCAGACTAACAACTCTACATGCATACACATTATTACATCTGAGCGTCCATTAGCTAGACATGGGAGCAGCTATGTTGTAATCAGCGGATCTGTTCTCCAGAGAGATATACATCTCAGTGTTGGGCAAGTGTACAAAGTGAAGATTCATGTGGGATATACTGAGAACACGGACATGCATCACAGCGTTATAGAAGGCTTCGTCTCAGTTGGTATTGAAGTGATCACATTCAGCCTGGAGCCGAATCTATGCCGAGGGGTGTGTGATGTTGGGAGACATTCTGTTATCATGTGGAATACACACACGTTTTCCTTCATTGCTCGGGAGGAATCCACACAACTTACTATTGGCACGAAGTCAAGGTCCATGGCGATGGCAGTTGATCACGTGACACTGCAGAGCGTCAAGTATGGTGGACATGACGAGGCTGGTGACACAGAGAAGCACGTGGAGGTGAACGCGGTGTTCCTGCCTCACTGGTCGTCTGTGCACGTGTCATGGCACTTCACGGACACCGAGTCTCCAATCACCCTGTACCAGTGGGCAGTAGGTGAGTCTCCCATCACCATGTACCAGTGGGCAGTTGGTGAGTCTCCCATCACCATGTGCCAGTGGGCAGTAGGTGAGTCTCCATCACCATCTTCCAGTGGGCAGTAGGTGAGTCTCCTATCACCATGTACCAGTGGGCAGTAGGTAAGTCTCCTAACACCCTGTACCAGTAGGCAGTAGGTGGGTACCCCATCACCATGTACCAGTGGGCAGTAGGTGGGTACCCCATCACCATGTACCAGTAGGCAGTAGGTGAGTCACCATCACCATGTACCAGTGGGCAGTAGGTGAGTCTCCAATCACCATGTACCAGTAGGCAGTAGGTGAGTCTCCTATCACCATGTACCAGTGGGCAGTAGGTGAGTCTCCTATCACCATGTACCAGTAGGCAGTAGGTGAGTCTCCTAACACCATGTACCAGTGGGCAGTAGGTGAGTCTCCTATCACCATGTACCAGTGGGCAGTAGGTGAGTCCCCATCACCATGTACCAGTGGGCAGTAGGTGAGTCTCCTAACACCATGTACGAGTGGGCGGTAGGTGAGTCTCCCATCATGTAAGAGTGGGCAGTAGGTGTGTCTCCAATCATGTAAGAGTGGGCAGTAGGTGAGTCCCCCATCACCATGTACCAGTGGGCAGTAGGTGGGCTCCTATCACCATGTACCAGTGGGCAGTAGGTGAGTCTCCTATCACCCTGTAGTAGTGGGCAGTAGGTGAGTCCCCCACCATGTAAGAGTGGGCAGTAGGTGTGTCTCCAATCATGTAAGAGTGGGCAGTAGGTGAGTCCCCCATCACCATGTACCAGTGGGCAGTAGGTGAGTCTCCCATCACCACGTACCAGTGGGCAGTAGGTGAGTCTCCCATCACCATGTACCAGTGGGCAGTAGGTGAGTCTCCTATCACCATGTACCAGTGGGCAGTAGGTGAGTCTCCTATCACCCTGTACCAGTGGGCAGTAGGTGAGTCTCCCATCATGTAAGAGTGGGCAGTAGGTGTGTCTCCAATAATGTAAGAGTGGGCAGTAGATGAGTCCCCTATCACCATGTACCAGTGGGCAGTAGGTGAGTCTCCCATCACCATGTACCAGTGGGCAGTAGGTGAGTCTCCCATCATGTAAGAGTGGGCAGTAGGTGTGTCTCCAATCATGTAAGAGTGGGCAGTAGGTGAGTCCCCCATCACCATGTACCAGTGGGCAGTAGGTGAGTCTCCCATCACCATGTACCAGTGGGCAGTAGGTGAGTCTCCCATCATGTAAGAGTGGGCAGTAGGTGTGTCTCCAATCATGTAAGAGTGGGCAGTAGGTGAGTCCCCCATCACCATGTACCAGTGGGCAGTAGGTGAGTCTCCTATCACCATGTACCAGTGGGCAGTAGGTGAGTCTCCCATCACCATGTACCAGTGGGCAGTAGGTGAGTCTCCCATCATGTAAGAGTGGGCAGTAGGTGTGTCTCCAATCATGTAAGAGTGGGCAGTAGGTGAGTCCCCCATCACCATGTACCAGTGGGCAGTAGGTGAGTCTCCCATCATGTAAGAGTGGGCAGTAGGTGTTTCTCCAATCATGTAAGAGTGGGCAGTAGATGAGTCCCCCATCACCATGTACCAGTGGGCAGTAGGTGAGTCTCCTATCACCATGTACCAGTGGGCAGTAGGTGAGTCTCCCATCACCATGTACCAGTGGGCAGTAGGTGAGTCTCCCATCATGTAAGAGTGGGCAGTAGGTGTGTCTCCAATCATGTAAGAGTTGGCAGTAGGTGAGTCCCCCATCACCATGTACCAGTGGGCAGTAGGTGAGTCTCCTATCACCATGTACCAGTGGGCAGTAGGTGAGTCCCCCATCATGTAAGAGTGGGCAGTAGGTGTGTCTCCAATCATGTAAGAGTGGGCAGTAGGTGTGTCTCCAATCATGTAAGAGTGGGCAGTAGGTGAGTCCCCCATCACCACGTACCAGTGGAGTGGACAGTTGGTAAGTCCCCCATCACCACGGACCAGTGGACAGTTGGTGAGTCTCCAATCATGTACCAGTGGGCAGTAGGTGAGTACCCAATCATGTACCAGTGGGCAGTAGGTGAGTACCCAATCATGTAAGAGTGGGCGGTAGGAAAGTCCGCCATCACCATGTACCAGTAGACAGTTGGTAAGTCCCCCATCACCCCGTACCAGTGGACAGTAGGTGAGTCTCCAATCATGTACCAGTGGGCAGTAGGTGAGTACCCAATCATGTACCAGTGGGCAGTAGGTGAGTACCCAATCATGTAAGAGTGGGCGGTAGCAAAATCTCCCATCACAATGTACTAGTGGGCAGTCAGTTAGGGCTTGACTATGGAGGATCTAGATTAAGAATGTATGAGATTATTTATACCGCACACTGTGGGCGAAAAGCCCCCATAACAAGGGATGCAGGCCTTAGACGTGTACCCCTTTGTGGAAACCAACGCGCACGCGTATTATGCTGTCAAAATAATGATCATATCAGGGCTAATATGGTTCTCAGACCAGCAACTGACATGTGGGACGCAAATCGTGGGTGACTTAGGAGTCCTATATTAAACTCAGATTACGAATATTGAGCGTAGTAATAAAACTATATGTTTATTTAGACATGGAGAAATACAGAAACAAAACTGTTGATAGTCTAGTGTGACCTGAGCAGCATCCAAGCCTGTAGGTAATAACATCAACTCTCCATGCAGGTCTGGTGGAAGGCGGGACACAGGTGCAGGGCTTCACTAATGTTGGTAGAAACCCTCAAGGAACAGTTTCTGCCCAGAAACTCACTCACAACTCCAGACTGTATATGTCAGTACTCGCCACTAACGCTGCCGGCCTGACATCACTGACCAGAGCTGAACCAGTGACGGTGGACATGACACCACCAACTATACAACACGTCAACGATGGTTCAGGTAAAACAAGCAACTGAAACGTGTCTGGCATTAATATTGTTTACCATTCCAAATACGCCTGCATGCGTGTACATTCCAGCATGCCCATTCCTTTACAAGGACCATAGTGAGTGAGTGGGTGAGTATGGTTTTACGCCACTTTTAGCAATATTCAAGCAATATCACGGCGGGGGACACCAGAAATGGGCTTCATACATTGAACCCATGTTGGGAATCAAACCTGGGTCTTCGGCGTGGCGAGCGAACGCTTTAACCACTAGGCTACCCGACCGCCCCTACAATGACCATAACATTTTGTGATAGAATCCATTGCTCCATTGCTATATGATCATCCAGCTTTAATACTCCCTTGCTATATGAACATCAAGCTATAATTCTCCATTGCTATATGATCACACAGCTATAATGCTCCATTGCTATATGATCACACAGCTATAATACGCCATTGCTATATGATCACACAGCTATAATGCTCCATTGCTATATGATCACACAAGTATAATGCTCCATTGCTATATGATCACACATGTATAATGCTCCATTGCTATATGATCACCCAGCTATAATACTCCATTGCTATATGATCACACATGTATAATGCTCCATTGCTATATGATCACACAGTAATGCTCCATTGCTATATGATCACACAGCTATAATGATCCATTGCTATATAAGTTGTAATGCTCTACTTCTAGGAGTTGATGCAGACTTCCTTTCACCAGAGGACATGGCAGCGAACTGGGCTGTGGAAGATCCGGAATCGGATTCTATCAACTGTGACATTGCTATAGGTAAGGAACAGACATATTGATACAACATGCTTGTTGTCATAATCGATTAGAAAAATACATTAATCAACAAAAAGGTAAATTCGTGTAGAAACTGCATAAGCTGATATTGTTTCAACATGTCTTTGTGTATACCAACGGAACTTCATTTTCAATATCGTCTGACTGAATAGCTGTTATATCTTCTGCAGGACACACGCCTGGAGATGACGACGTCCGTCGGTTTGCTCGAACTAATCCTGGAGTAAGGTTTACCAGGTGGAATCTGACTGATCTAGTGACGTCATCTGGTGTGAAGGTGTACACGACAGTACGTTGCCATAACAACGTGGGGCAGACCACCGAGTCCTCATCTGATGGTGTCGTCATCGTGTCCCAGTTGGCATCTGTAGCTGGCTTCCAGGTCCTGGAGGAGAGCCCCTCTGTGTTCTCAGACAGAGACCAGTGCCACGTAGCCCGAGACACTGTGAGACTTCGCTGGGAGGGAGGAGAAACCCAGAGTCCTTACACAACCCTGGTATGTCGACTCCAGCTGACGCTTCAACATAGATACTTGCTCTAGTCACAACTACCATGTATGAAGCTGGTGTTTGTAACATTCTTACTGATTTGTTTTGTGTTTTTAATTAAACATATAGGTTCACATCGAGGGTAGCAGTTTGATCTACGAACAGATCGTCCCGAGTATATTCACATACACATCTGCCCAGCTGTGTGGCCTGAAACTCAGCGACCTGACAACCTACAACATCAGCGCCATGCATGTGCTGGACAAGCCAGGGTACCCGACAGAAGCTTCTATCACCATGCATGGCCCGCCACCAAGCCTAAACAGTAAGACAGTACAACAGTTATCGTAAAAACAGCAAATTCGAAAATACAATTTTAAATGCAACAAAATTCAGTGTTATGTTGTATCTGTTTCCTGACAGTGATGTCTGGTTTACTTCAGAAGCAGCGATGATCTCGTCCAGGACGTCCGACAGGATGACCACTCTGTCCTGGCCTGGGCTGTTTACCTCCCCCTGGGGCCAGCTTGTGTATGAAGTGATGGTGGGCAGGGTGGAGGGTGGGGCAGATGTGGTGGACGGGCTGCTGACACGCCAGGAGCAGATGGAGCTCAACCTGTCCTCGCACCCGCTAACTGTCACTGCCGTATATGTCTCTATAACAGCCATTGATCCGTGTGGATACACTGCTTACTACTCACAGGCTGTGGATGTCGGCCCCTGACTCCAACTGATTCGTGGAAGTGTAAATCGTGATTAAATATTGTTTTCTAATTTTGACAGTGTAATTTGTTCCCATCCGTACATGCTCACACACTCATCAGTCAATTTAATCATCATGACCAATTTTGAAATTATATCTATAATCAAGTTATTTTGTCATTACATAAATATAATATTTTGTAATAGCTTTTTTCAAATGTCCTGATCCCAAAACTGTATCCAGTGTTTTCTGAAAATACTCAAACGCACAACATAATTACTTTCTCCTACTTTTAAATGACTCCCCCTATTTTTAAAGATTGCTTTCGCAACACCTACGTAACATTTGTTCTGGGAATGTGCCAGTACCAAGAACCATGTTATTAAGGTTTGATAAAAATATCTTTAAAGACATCAATGGTGGTTAAAACAGATACATTGATTAGTGTATCAATACCAGCATCTATGTCCTTTTTCAAATTCACAGTTTTGGAGTTTCACATTTTGTAATAGCTGCATTAGGTAGTGTGCTTTCTCAATATTTGCGTCACGTAGATTATCTATATCGAAGTCATCTTCTGCCGAAACTTCTTTTAAAGTCATAGGAAAGTTGCGTACAGATTCAACCATGAGAGTAAGGATAATTTGCGAAGGAATAATCCAATGTAAACAATCTCATTATCTGTTGGACGTGATCAAAGATATTTATGCTAAATATATAACAAAAACCAATAACCATGCTTCATTAGTATAATGTGTTGTTTATTTGTCATTTTTGTACCCAATAAATTATAATCATAAAGTTTGGTTCTTTGTTTGGGTTCATCCATTTAATTACGAATTCGGAGGTAGCAGCTAGGGGGTTAGCTGTGCACACAACTGTGAACTTTGTTATAAGCTGGTGGGGTTTGGGGAGGATCCTGCATGCGTAATTAACAGACAAGTGCAAGTGCTTATCCCCACCCTACACTAACCATCCTGTTAACTCCTAATCAACAATGAGACGACATTGAGTTCATATCGCCAATGTGCTAGGAGATAACAAGCAAACCTGTTAAGTGGAATTTTTGTCCAGGGCCAACTTGCACAAAGCGATCTTAGCACTACGACTTTTGTAACACTGTTAAAGTATTGAGTTATGAACATCTTAGCGCTGAGACTGCTTTGTGCAAGTGGGCCCAGGTCCTTTCATTGTCTATCAGTCTGTTATTCTCAATACTGAAAGGCCACGGGCCACAGTACATGTATTACAAGATACAAGCGCAGAGAGTGCACAAACATTGCATGAAGTACATTGCATACACAAATTCTTATATATTGGTATATTAGTGTACCTCCCCAGAGCAAGAAGCATCAACCAGTGTGAACTACATCTGAATTGTGACAGTGATGTCCTAAACTTCCTCAGGTTCATATGCATTGAATAGCTTTCAGTAGGTAATAATGATGTGTATAACTTATTGAAGCACCATTTACATCATGGATCAACAATAAGAAGTCCACTGTTGGATGTACATATCCACAATAGTTTGTCTTAGTGGCATTAAAACAAAGTTCTTGATTGTTTGTGACACATTGATAATACCATACATGACAGTGACCACATTTATAGAGGAAGATCTTCACATGAAACTGAATGTTTCTGAATGTATTTGAATTCCCCCTTTCATGATTACGGCATGATCTGTTCGGCAAGTTCATTAATAAAGATTGATAAGAGAAAAGGGCTTACCACACAGCCTTGTCGCAACACTACAGGCTCACAAGTAAAAGTCTCTGAATATATACCATTATTTTACCTTTTGATAGATATTACATAATAATTTTCCCATTGTGTTACCTTCAGAATGAAATATAAACCATAATTTACTTCTTCCGAATCAAATGTTCTACCTCTGGAATCAACATCATTTGTTTGTCCTTTTTGTGTATATTGTGGTGTTAAACGAGAAACAAACAAACATAGGAATAATTACACCACGTGTCCATTCTTTTGGAAAAGACGAGGTTTTCAGAATTGAATTGAAAAAATCTCCAAATAGGGAAATATGATGTCATGAGAAGATTTAAAGCATTCTTGTATCAATTCATTGTTTCCTGAAGTTATATTGTTTTTCAAATCATGAATAGTGTCTTAACTGCGTTTTTTACGTCGCTATATAAGTGCAATAATCTTGGACGCGACGTTAAACCCAATTTCACCTCACATTAACTGCGTTTTGCGGTTAACTGAGCCCTACTACAGTTCCGTGTCGTCAGAGGTAAGGTAAACCAAGACTTAGCATCTCGCTTGGTCAGAATCGGGTCATCTTAGTCCAGGAGTGATTGGTCAATCGACTCTTACCCTGAACTGTCTCTATCTGCATTCATGTACCGGCCCTTGCACTCACCAGGAATACACGTGTTATACTCACATACTTTTAATAACGCTCCAGTCCATCTTCAAATACAACTTCGACATAAGACAGACTAGACTCGTCACAGACTGGACAGAGTGAAAACGATCTGCCTCAGTCACTGCCAAAACCGCGCACCATGCACTACTAGTGTTGAACGTATCTTTTTAAAGGGGTCGAGTCTCACTTTTCTTTGCAACATGTAACAATGTCTCAGTTTGATTCGTTAAAAGTTTAGATATGACCATGAACTCAAGTGTGTCATAATCGGAAAAATACCGAAGTCTACGTGCCAGATTGAGCATCTCTCTATTGATTTTGTAACTTACTTTCTGATTCCACAAATGAAAAGTATCTTACCTCATTCATGATTCATAAAGTACTCTACCATAATGTGGATAATAGTTCTGCATCGAACTTTGTATACCTAATGCAACCACATCATAGCAGCTATGAACAGATTAATTTGTTACAATATTTTTACCATTTTCTAATGTTTTTGAGGCGCATTTAAACCTTATAACAATAGCAGAGAATAGTTCTTTTCTCTTCTTCCGATGTCTGGCTCATACCAACAGTATCACCTGATGCCAAAAACGGAATGCATTCAAGGTCAGTACTGCAGTTTTACGTGTCCTGACATATTTCAAAATTTAAAATCAACATAATTTTTATCACTGCTGTGATTATGATATCTTTGAGCTCCGACCACATCCCTGTCTGTCCCTGTCCTCTCCCTAAGTCAACCTCCACTCTCACCTCTCACTGTGCTGGATTCTGTTGTACTTGAAGCATACGTATAATGCCTCGGAGCGATGTCTATTCGGTTTCTCATTTTTACACTTTCTCATTTCGTGTCCTGATAAACCAAGAGCAGTTATTGCATGACTGATTGATTGGGATGACATGATGAACACTTATGGGAATTTTTATGATCTAAAAGTTATGGTGTTGCAAATGATTTGACTAAAGACTGTTCATCGTATCATCCTAATCAGTCATACAATAACTGCTCCGATTCGATTTCCATCAGTGTCAATAGGTTGATATTGTTATTTTCTCTGATTGAATGAATTACTTTTTCTACTTGCATTAAGTGTGGGATTCATTTTTCCCTTCTGGGATACCATAGATGATGATGTGATTTCTCCGTCTTTCTAAGTCCTCTACACGGTTTCCCAGCTCAGTGAATTCTATCGTAGCATCATCAACTTTTTCCCGAACCGCATCAACATCCAATCGGATTATATTCTGTTTTTCCCTTGTGGTATACATTTGCTTTTGTAATTCTGTGACGTCACATCTAAGCAAACCTGTATCATCTCGCATAGAACCTGTGTAACTTCTTAAAGTTTCCTCTGGTGACGTGATTTGCTGGATAATTGAACAATGCATGCCTGGCAAATCGGTTTGCAATGGGCTGGGTTAAGTTATGATACATCGTTATTGTAGCTGTCTGGTTTTCGATATGTAAACCTGTAATCAGTGACACAAACACTCATCTCCACATCCGGGAGGGGTAGATTGGTAATTCTGTCTTGTATATACTGCATGTTGTAAGCAACAGACAATAGAGCGGGATACCCTGAGCAGTATTACTGTACAATGTAGAAGCAGGTAAGCCATGACAGTGCCCTTTGTCCATGTTGGGTGTAGGGTTGACTATTTTCTATCTGCCCTGGGGGCTGAATGAAGCAGCCGATCCTTGCTCTCCAGATATCGACCGATACACCTTTCTTCACTGGGAGGGATCGTTTTGGCACCGAAGACATTCTTAACGTGGAACCATTACACAGAAAAGCAGCGATTTCACGTACATCCACTCTCCAAGGGATGTAATTAATTTTGTCCATGGGTGTATCAGGGTGTATTTCATAACATAGTGGTAATACCGGGTGTTCGCAAAAAGGTGTGTGTATCCTTCTCACCAGTGCCATCCATTGAAACACATGCAAAGGCAAATCAATGATTCACATTAATCATTCAAATATGTTTTTGTTTTTTTTAACTGTATTACCACGTTGGGTTTGGTATGTTCACGCACAAAGTATCAAACTTATATTTCTTGTCTCATGTGTGTAAATTTGGGATGGCTTAGCATTAAATGTATAAATAGACAAGAATCACAGGCGACAGAGATATACAAAGATATATTATAGCCATGCCTGGGTCTGCTGGTTATTGGTATGAATCATCAATTCACACACACAAATTCTCAGGTTTCTCTTTCAGCACAATGTCCGTACTCGTGGGCTTCGATGCACTAGGAAGTGTCAATAATCTGCGTCAATTAGAGCTTTCACAACGCTTTATGATAACACGCTGTAGAAGTGAAGTATTCTTCAAAACTCACTCACTCCAGAGTCAGGGAGACAACTGCCAAGTCGAGTCAGTATGGCTGTTATCATCACCAACAGAACGTTGTTCAGTCCAAAAATGGCGGATTATATCACCCAGCTCACACAGACACCAAGGAAAACTGATGGAGGGGTGCGAAATATGTGAATTTGAATTAAAATTGATGTGGTGCCTGTTATTATGGCACAAATAACGACTTCATATACATTAATTTGTAATATAGTGGACATTTTATTGCTTTGTATGTGCAGTGTTCATATACATTTATTCGAGGTGATAGTGAATAAGAGTTGGTTAAATAACAAAAACAGTAACGCCCTAAAGTAGAGCCAAGGTGACATAAGGGCTTGGTTATTAATTAGATATCATCATCATATATCAAATGAAACAGTGTCATATTTTTTGGATGTATATAGGGAATACAATAAAATAAAAAACGATCATTCTGATCAACGGAAACAAAACGAATATCAGGAACACAATGTGTACAGACATCATTGCACACGTTAATGTCTACTTCATGTGAATGTTGAATGAGTGAGTGAGTTGGGTTTAACGCCGCTTTTAACAGTATTCCAGTTATATCGCGGCGTGTCATATTGAATGAGTTGATAATCACATGAAATGTTAACGGTGAGTGGGTTGTGATAAACGCCGCTTTTAACAGTTTTCCAGTTATATCGCGATGTGTCAGCTTAATGTGGGAGTAAAGCCCGAAGTTATGCAGGTCTCTGACGTTTACCACTTCTTTGAAACCCACGAGCAAGGGTATGGTGCTGACAAACCAAGAAGCAATCGGGGCGAACCGGGATTCGAGCCCATAGCTTTTTAGCGTGCCCAAGGGACGCAACTCCGCACAAAATATTTTCAACCGATTTGTGTCTAATAGTAAGTGCAAACACAGCAGCCATGGTTCCACATGGGTGTCACTGAAATATTTCCGTTGAATGACAGTCAGGTGATCACCAAAGATGTTGGCAAAGGACATCGATCAGCTCCAACTCGGTTATTCAGTCAACGTGAATCTGACATCTGTGGACAAGATATAAACTCAGGTAAATGTATCCTTTACATGAAATGAGGTTCCAATCGTGTTCTTCATTGTCTAGAGCCAACCGGTATGTATAATCCATCGTTAAGAAGTTCAAATCATATCTGAATGGGGGACATCATGTACTGTGGGGTTAAGTCTGATCCTCCAGAATGAAGTACTCTCGTGAAGGTTCACCTGGATCATCAGGGGGTTCTGATTCTCTCTTGGGTGTCGCCTCTCCAAGTTTGGTGTAAGGTTCTTGTTCTTCCTCAGCAGAGCGTTTCCCTTCCAGTTTGTTGTATGTGTCTTCTGGTTTCTCAAGGACGAAATAATCAGCAGCTGTCCCGTTGTTTCCAGCTGGCTCGTTGTCTTCATTGTCATCTGCCACTGATCCCAATTTGTTGTATGTACCCTGCACATCAGTTGTAGTCTCAGTAGCGCCCTCTCTGCCCAGTCTGTTGTATGTACCCTGCACATCAGTTGTAGTCTCAGTAGCGCCACCTCTGCCCAGTCTGTTGTATGTACCCTGCACATCAGTTGTAGTCTCAGTAGCGCCCTCTCTGTTCAGTCTGTTGTATGTACCCTGCACAACAGTTGTAGTCTCAGTAGCGCCACCTCTGACCAGTCTGTTGTAGTCGCCGTCTGTCGGGTCATCCTTCTCCAGAACGAAGTACTCAGCAGCAGATGGTGGTGTACCGTCCTGTATCGCCATCCCCGGGGCTGCTTGTGCCAGTTTGTTGGATGTGTCTTCAGGTGTCTCAAGGACGAAATAATCAGCAGCTGTCCCGATGTTTCTACCCGGCTCGTTGTCATCATTATCATATTTTGTTGATCCCAATTTGTTGTATGTATCCTGCACATCAGTTGTTGTCTCAGTAGCGCCATCTCTGCCCAGTCTGTTGTATGTGCCCTGTACATCAGTTCCTGTCTCAGTAGCGCCATCTCTGCCCAGTCTGTTGTATGTGCCCTGTACATCAGTTGTAGTCTCAGTTGCGCCCTCTCTGCCCAGTCGGTTGTATGTACCCTGTACATCAGTTCCTGTCTCAGTAGCGCCATCTCTGACCAATTTGTTATAGTCGCAGTCTGTCGGATCATCCTTCTCCAGGACGAAGTACTCTGCAGCAGGTTGTGGTGTACCGCCCTGTGCCGCCATCACGGGAGGTGCTTGTGCCAGGGAATACACAGCTGCCCCAGTCATGTCATCAGTTATGTCCACATAGTCCCCCTGGTCGCAGACAGAAGGATCCACCCCCAGCTGGTAGTCGTCTCCCTCTTTGATGACGTCATACACATCTGACGGGGCACTGGACGCTTGTTGTACAGCTGAAACCTTAATGAGATCCGGGACTTGGGATTTCACCGCATTTGTACCAGGTGGGGATTTACCACTGCAACTGGTGGTGTGAATCTTAAAAGAAGCATAATTATGGCTTGTCAGTCTTACATAGTTTCACTTCTATGTACCTGTTAACACGTATAATAACTGTAGTTAGCTTGTTAATGATTAATGAACGTGCATTTGTGATACCCGGCAATAGTTGTGAGCAGAATATACACCTTGAACATCAATAATATATTTACCGTAATATATCGAAATAAATGCTAAAATTACCAGCCTAATTTGCATTGTTATTAACTTAGTCATATTCGTAAAACAACACACTAATATGTATATGAATTCGAAACCATTATTCCATTATTGAAACGCTGAACAGTGGGCTACCTAGTTGGAAGAAGTGCTAAGTATATTTCGAAACAGTATTTAGAAGCTGATTTGTTATTACGACTATTGAACCAACTTAATACTAATCAATCTTTTATTTGTATCAATGTTATTTTTGAACTTCTTAAAATAATCAGAAGCATTTGACGCATCAAATGTGTTTAGATAACATTGAAATAAAAGTGAGTGAGTGAGTTAAAATTAAACGTCGCATCAGCATTTTTTCAGCCATATTGTGACAAGAAAAAGTTGATATACCTGTACATAAACAAGTGAGTCATGAATACAAAGTTATATTTAAAAAGAAGTATGTGAAACATATTTGGGCATAACATTATTATTTATACAGTTTTAAAACACGGGCTAAAGGCCACCAGTAACCAAAGCTAGGCCACCTCGCTGGAAATAATGGGGACTTACAGTACCTCAGCTTCATGCGTGATACCCCAACAGGATCTACGTCATCACTTTAGCTACAGGTGGTTGTGCACAATGCTAGCCAATATTAAAAAAATGCTCAGCAATGAGTTGGCTGGTTGATGATAGTACAAACAATTTACCAATCCTATACAGGTGTGGGATTCCTTCGTCCCTGCTCCGTCTTCATCTTCTGTATGTCTATAAATATTTTTAAAAAAAACACTAATGAAGGTGAAGTGCAAGTTGATGGTGCTTGGTGATATTATCTGACACCAATTTACAAACAATTTGAATCCCCTCAATTTCTGTAAAAAACAATGACATTTGAGGATAATAATAACGTTTTTTATGTCTTAAGGTCTTTATGATTAATCAGACAATTTTACAATGACCCACCCCAAAGATCATTTCACACATATTGAACACTTTATAATCATTTACTCGACTAATGTTATGGCGTCGGGAATGTCTTGAAGTACCTTCTATTCGAGCGACATGCACGACTAAGGAATACGATGACAACCGTGATAACGACGCCCCCAAAGAGTCCTCCAACAACTCCTCCAATGAGCACTCCAATCTGAGATCTGTCTTGTCCATCTACGTATGCAATGATTATGACAAAAACTTATTCAATTGATAATTCATTGATATAAATATACATTAACTGATATAAATTATGCATTAATATATTTTATTTCTGAAAGGCATTGATTCTTTGTTGTTGTAAAAGATCTGTTCCTGTAAAAACTGAATCAGTGGTTCTACCAGAGACTGTTTTGTCGCTCGCTGAAACAGGGGTTGTAGTACCAGTGGGTGTGCCGGATGATGTTTTGCCGCTCGCTGGATCAGAGGTTGCAGTACCAGCGGGTGTGCCGGATGATGTTTTACCGCTCGCTGAAACAGGGGTTGTAGTACCAGCGGGTGTGTCAGATGCTGTAGTATTAGTAGCTGTAGTGTCCCTGGCTGAACCAGAGGATGTAGTAATGGTGGGTTCGCTGCTAGTAGTAGTCCTTGTGATTGTGTCGGGGGTTGTGGTACCATTTGTCACAGGAGTAGTTAATGTCGTGGTTGGCGTGCCTAGTATTAGAGAGAGTAAAGCGTTTGAAACCTGGCCTAAAGTCTCTACTACTGTTTTTATCCTTTGCTTCATGTTGCATACGTGTACAGGGGCCTGGCGGCACAGCCGTCTTAAGCGCCCAAATTCGTTGTGCAAAGTTGCGCACCTTAGGAACGCCAGAAATCTATGATCGTGGATTCGAGCCCTGGTTCGCCCCGATTATGTTTCTAGATCTGTAAGGACCATAACCGCACTCATGGGTTACACAAGAGTGGTAAACATATGAGCCCTGCATCACTTTCGGGCTTTCCTCACACATTGGACCCTTTCCTGGAGAGCATAATGGACTTTAACGTAAGACATTCCGATCTGTTTAGTCGCCTCTTACGACCAGCATCAGTTGATCAATTTGAACCATGTATCCCCACGGGCCACATGGGGCGAAGAAGAGCCTGTCTCAGCCAGGGTTGCGGGACAAACAACGTACACTGAGAACGGGGTTAATCTAAACATTCATAAGAAACTTATTACTAATGATTTAACAGTAGAAATAATAAACGATGACACCCTTAACTCTGTTTTCCTCCTAACCTGTGACAAACACAGATAACATGATTAAACAGGAATACGATGCAAGGGCAATTGTGAACACATACTTTGTCCTCCTGTTTGTCAGATATTGTTATGTTTCAATGAATGAATTGGATTGTTACACTGTTACATAACTGTGTCTTATTTGCACCATAAAGAAAGGCTGTGTACATGTACATCAGAGATGTGAAATATTTCGTGGTAAAATGAACATTCATTTGTCATTCAATTCCTCAAACTAACTTTTCTGTACTTACAATTCTTGGATTCCGCCTCGCAGACACATCTGAAAAACATGGACGACAATGGTAAATGTATTTTATTTTATGTATGGAACGGTGCTATATCGAGCTGGAGGAAATCTTATACATACATATGATAAATGAATAAAATAAAAACCCAAACTAAAATTACTACCAGTTTCTTTTCGGGAGGATTTTTCAGTGATATTGCTGAAATGTTGCTAAAGCGGCGTAGAACCATACTCACTCACTCCCTCTCTCACTCGAACGAGATATGGGCTGCGCGCGCACACAAATCAGTGACGGCACGATTAATAAATCAGGTTTGGGGTGTATAGCGTTGCATTGTACTACTAAGTCGTTGTGATAACATGTTTAATCATTAGAATATGTCTTTACGAGAATCTACATAACAACTTAGAACAAACAAATCAAATTCAAAGCTGATCTTTAACCATTAATGGGATCTTCTACTGTGTATTATATTATTAAAATCAACAGTAATGCAATAATAATTTACTCGTGTAGTCAGCATAAGTTAAAAGTTATATCAAAGCAAAAAAGTAGGCCATGGCCATGTACGTGTGTTAGCATTCACTTACTCCAATTGTGTTACTGGCAACTACATGTATATATATACTCAGTCATTGACCCAGGTTGACTTAGGCACACATTAATTTTGCATTGATGTTGGCAACACTTTGCGTTTCTTTTTTTGCAAGGTATATTACTTTTCAAGAGGATGAAAGATCGACCATTTGATATTCTTGAGGGGAACAAATTATTATCGAGCAAAATGAATTTTGAAAGTCCTGATGGTATATGTGTTATGTAAGTGCCTGTGAATCTGATTTGCACATCTAATTTCCATATATTTTATACATCTCATCTATATTAGACTCATAGCCTGCTTGTTACATACATGCACACACACGCACGCACGCACGCACGCACGCACGCACGCACGTACATACATACATACATACACACACACATATTAGACTTATTGTCTGATGATATGCACTTTATTAAACATGTTTCAATGTATTAAAATTCTAAACATGTTTGGATTATGGGGATGTTGGTGTTTAGACTGAGGCGATAGCTTTTTTCATTTCATTTCAGACCCTAATCGTGTTTAGATAGACACCAAATGTGAACACCATTTAGGATTGAAACACTCCTGAACATGTCTTGTCTGCGTTTATATTCTCAACACATTTTTACAGTGTGGATTTTACTAATTTAACACGTATTATTTACTAATCTTCAGCATCATCGTGTAATCTACCAGGCAGGATAGTACATTCGTTGTTGTTTTCTGTATGTGTTTTTGACGGGTGCCACCTTGTATCATTTGATATATGATAGTGATTCATAAACACATGATTATGCTATATTCGAAATCTTACAATCGGCTCTGCTTTTGGCAGAGATTTTTTATACCTTCTTTTACAGAGTGTTTAATGTACCTTATAATGTCCGGGCATGTCTCCGGTCTGGATGTATAACAGGGCGGCAATTCACCTGAAATTTAATGTACGTGTTAATCCACATTTACAAGTATGTCAAAGAAGAAACAAACATACATTATCTCAAACTAAGTTTGCGGAAGTTACTGGTTCACATTACCTAGGCCAATGCATGTCCTGTTCCACCGATTCCCATCCTTACATCTGGAAACAAGGGGCATATTCAAAATATAGAAGAAGTAACATGCACTTATCTGAACGGTACGACTTCAATCAAATCCTTTGCCTTTGCTTGTGTTTTTGCGAACTTCTTGTGTCATCACTATCTGAGAGTGATTCATGCTTATGAAATAGTCGACATTTCTTATGATAATGGGCATGGCTTTGTTACTTGTATTATTATTATTTTAAAGTGAGTGAGTGAGTGAGTGAGTGAGTGAGTGAGTGAGTGAAGGCAGTTTGGTGAGTGGGTAAGTGGGTGGCTCAGTGAGTAGATCAAACTGTCTAAAGGGTAACGTGTTTGTCATATTCAAATGAAAAGTGATTTTAAACAAAATAAAAACTACGTACGTGAAAGTCACGTTTATCAGATGCATGTCACATGTTTGGTCCCCTGAAACACAATTCATGATATCTAATAAAACATCACGCAGAATTTCACGAATATACAGCACGAAGTGTATGTAATACTGAAGGATGTGATTATATTGATGTAGTTAATAATTTGAAAACATCTGTAAATTGAATACTTTGAAGCAGACAGAACATAAACTTACTATGTGGTGAAGTACAGTGTAGCATGACGTTATATGTTGCCCTGTAAAAAGCATTTGACTTGCACCAGGTTTGTCGGCAGACACTGAAGAGATAATGTCATAGGCATTCATAAGAGTTTCACATTAACATCGTATAATGAGATTAAGAGCTAAGACAAATGGGATCGGGTGGTCAGGCTCTCTGACTTGGTTGATGCATGTCATCGTATCCCAATTGTGTGGATCGACGCTCATGATCTCAATCGCTGGATTGTCTGGTCCGGGCGCGATTATTTACGTCTGTATAGCTTGAATATTGCTGAGTGCAGCGTTCAACAACAAACAAAACCAATTTGTAGTAGGCTGCTCACGAATAACGGTTTGATATAAATTTTGACATAAGACATGTCACAAGCACATTTAGTTTGCCAGACATTTCAATGCCAGAAAAGTATGTAATTAATCAATAAATGCTCACTCTATGCGTATAAATATGTGAATACCAGTTAACAATGAGAAATGGAAAACGATCTAAAACTTACTGTTTGCATTTGTCACTTGTAATCTCTTGTAAGGATACAGGCTGGTTCAAATTGCACTTTGTCGAGAAACATAAGGTGGCAACTGAAACAATGAACATGTTAAATGGTACACATATCGTCGACATGTATTAATAATATTTACAAGGTGTCTTACAGATCTTGTGTCATCGTACTGAACTTTCAATGACATATTTTCATGGAGCAGAAAGGAGCAAGAAAGTGACTTTAAGGTTGTAAAGATCAATTGCTGGTTCAGATCTTTGAAGAGCCTAATATTTACCACCGTAACCTCTCAATGTGTTGGGTAGACTACAGAAAAGCTTATAATTCTATACCTCCCGAATGTGATTTTTGAGGACACCGGAATGTATTGAACTCCCTGAGTGGTTACTTGTTTTACTTAAACCTTTAATGAACTGCTGGTCAACTTGAGATGTATTTGCAGGGGTAGGTGGTGACTTTGAAAACCCATCTCCATTAGAATATAAATATTTAACAATTCCTTTTAGTCCTTTGCTCTTCTGTTTGTCACTAAATCATTTAAGCTTTTTGGAATTTTTAACCATCTCCGTGGAAGGTCAGGCTTATACGTACTTGACAAACCCCAGAATGCCCACATCAGGGAAAACTTAGGGTAGAGTACAAATGAAGACTTAAGAAAATCTGGAGTTCAGAGCTCGCAATAAAGTAAAAGTCACAAATATTAATGCTGCACTCGTACTTTCGTATTCTTTTGGTGTTGTTGATTGGACGAAAACAAGAAGATCAGGGTATTGACACCCTCCCACGAAATATCATATCGACAAGATATCCAACCAAAATCGCTCTCCCCTCAAGCGCTTGTATTAACCAATCGTAATGGGAGGGCATGGTTTGATTAAAGTGTAGGCTCTTTATAATAGAATTGTATTGTGCACTTTTGCGCACAGTTATTTGTCTTTTCTTAAACGAGCAAAATATGTGGGACATAATCTCAATGCCAATGTTGATTTTGTTGATGGTTCTGTACTGCTGAACGGTACAGAAATGAGTGTCAACCAAGCGATATCAGCCCAGGCTCAGTTTTTAAAGGAGAGGCTATCTGAACGATCACTGCAGTTAATATGCAGTGTGTTGTGATGAACAGCAACCTTGCAGAGTCCTTCTCTTGGATAAAATCGGCTGGCCTAAACATTGAAGCACAAAGCTTTCTGTCTGCTGCTCAGGACCAGTCACTTCCCACTCGAAACCGTCAATGTGTGATTTTGCATCAAAATGTAAATATGAAATGTAGATTATGCAATGAATTTAATGAGACTGACCAACACATTGTCAGTGTATGTCCAGCTTTGGCACAAACAAAGTCTCTTAACACATTATGGAATGACTCGATCCTATAATTACCATCTCACTGGTCTCCTTTATTTGGTTTATAAATCTGTTGAAGGGAAAATGGCTATTTGGTGGTTATTAAATAATATCAGATAATCTATATACCATAAGCTTAAGTTAAACTTCTGGGCCAGATTACCCTGTTTTGATATTGTCAATCCGAGTTGAAGCTCCAAATAATGTGCATAAGACACATGTCAACAAGAATGTTTACTTCTCGCATAAATGACACACACACAAATTTTGAATAGATGTTATCAATGACGAAGTCCAACATTTTGGCTTAAGGTAGAATTCAAAGAACGTTTCTGACTATATCATAAGCTTGTGTTTATTGATCACTGTCAAATAGTCAGGAAACCAGGTGTGAGCCAGCAAGAGGTACATAATTATGTTAAGGTAAATGAATCCTTAATGACATTTGTGCCTCATGGAACTTAGAACAGTTAATGTCATAGATCGATATCCATATATTCAAGGATATCAATTTTGCCCTTTTACGGTAGAAATAGGATTTCTTACTGCTTGTTTCTGCCAAGATGGTAACATTCACGTGGATGATTTTGACCTCCTGAGATCTTTCCATCCTTCTGAGGAGAAAAGCAATTAAGAACAATTAAGAACAGAAAGTCATGTTTGAATTATATTGGGAAATAGATGACGTGATGTTTTGTTTATTGTTATTTTATGACAAATACTAATAATTAGGAGCGGTGTGCTACAATGCCTTGTTCCGATTTCCTGACCAAAAACCGAAATATTGTGACCTGTTTCTGTGACAGTGTTTTTATAGCCGCAATTAAAGAACTATATGCTCAACTGCATGAACTCATTTGGAGTCGCTGTGAATATACGGGTAAGAACATTGCTCGTCTTCACATGTTTGCTGTAAGAGGCAACAAACGGGATCATGCTCGCTGACTTGTTTGATGCATGTCATCGTATCCTACTTGCATAGATCGATGCTCATGATATCAATCGCTTGATTGTCCATGGATGATGTCACTCACTGGGTTGTCTTAGCCAGATTAGATTATTTATTGACGATAGTTGAGTGCGACAAACAAACGTTATGCTCGTGAAATATTTTCGATGGGCCTAAAGTAATTACACTTAGACCGTTGACAGGGGCGGATACAGCTTTTGGGGGGAGAGAGGGGTGCGGATTTAACAATATTTCAATCCCCATTCTCTTTTCATTGCTTCTTCGCCATGACCTGTTCGCATTAAGACAACCGCTCCAGGGGCGGATACACCTTTTCACTGAAACTGAACTGGTTCGAATGATGGTACGCGACTCAAGCTTATCGCGATTTAGTTCAGGTAGACATGAGCTCAGCCTACACTGACACAAGGAGATAATGCATTCTGAGTGCACATGAACTCGCCATTAGTTATTAGTGATATAAGACCCAGGTACAGTATGACAGACGTCTCTGCACTTACACTATCGTATATAACACAACCGATAACGACTCCCTGTGCTGAAGAACGCAATAAATGGATACTGTGATGCCACAGAGAACCAGCACATTGACATCATTTTTAGATATCATCCATTTCAATTTTCCAAATTTGATGCCTGAATAAAGTAATTTTCAAAAGTATCTGGTCAAATCCTTGGAAACAAACTGATACAACTTTGTGAAGGCATGCGAAAGGAAATTATTTACACGGGTAATCTATATTATCAATGTTTGGTGAAACAAAAAATAATTCAATAAACCACAACAGACGAAAATAGAGACCTGCATGACTAGATTTATTATAATCACAATACTGTTTCCAGTGCCATGATTAACTAAACCTTGGTAAACGTGGTGGGCATATGATAACCTTTTGGCATTACTAATGTGACACTTTAGGGCAATGTCGGTCGGAATTTGTGCCAATTATATAGCAAAAGGCCCTTTGTACATGGGAATACACGCCTAACCTATTTCTTTTATTTTTGTGTGGCTTGGTTCAGTCTGGCTTCATGGTACCGAAATAGAGGAATAATGAAACCAGCCACACTTCGCTGCACTCACGAGTGCCTTGTTCTCATAATGTTTGTTGTTTAACACCGCACTCCAGCATATTCCAGCTATATGACGGCGGTCTGTAAATAATCGAGTCTTGATCAGACAATCCAGTGATTGATATCATAACCATCGATCCACGCAATTTGGATACAATGACCACCCAATTCCGTTTATCGCCTCTAACTCTCAAAACTTGAACGCTCATCTAAAAGTTTCGTGAGGTGACAGTTTTAGAAGACTGCCTGTGCCAATATAAGATCGAAACGAGGCCCTTTTGCGACCTGACTAGCGTCTTATCTACTTGTCCAGTGCGGACGGGAAACCAATCTGAAGACACCGATATCCTGCCAGCTTTCAACACTATTCCAGATTCAAGAATGGAGAACGTGCAACATTATTCCAGATTCAAGAATGGAGAACGTGCAACATTATTCCAGATTCAAGAATGGAGAACGTGCAACACTATTCCAGATTCAAGAATAGAGAACGTGCAACATCAGTCCAGATTCAAGAATGGAGAACGTGCAACTTCAGTCCAGATTCAAGAATGGAGAACGTGAAACATTATTCCAGATTCAAGAATGGAGAACGTGCAACATTATTCCAGATTCAAGAATGGAGAACGTGCAACACTATTCCAGATTCAAGAATGGAGAACTTGCATCATTATTCCAGATTCAAAAATGGAGAACGTGCAACACTATTCCAGATTCAAGAATTGAGAACGTGCAACATTATTCCAGATTCAAGAATGGAGAACGTGCAACATTATTCCAGATTCAAGAATGGAGAACGTGCAACATTATTCCAGATTCAAGAATGGAGAACGTGCAACATTATTCCAGATTCAAGAATGGAGAACGTGCAACATTATTCCAGTTTTAAGAATGGAGAACGTGCAACACTATTCCAGATTCAAGAATGGAGAACGTGCAACATTATTCCAGATTCAAGAATGGAGAACGTGCAACATTATTCCAGATTCAAGAATTGAGAACGTGCAACATTATTCCAGATTCAAGAACGGAGAACGTGCAACATCAGTCCAGATTCAAGAATGGAGAACGTGCAACATCAGTCCAGATTCAAGAATGGAGAACGTGCAACATTATTCCAGGTTCAAGAATGGAGAACTTGCAACATTTGTCCAGATTCAAGAATTGAAAACATGCAACATTAGTCCAGATTCAAAAATGGAGAACTTGCAACGTTTGTCCAGATTCCATAATGGAGAACGTGCAACACTATTCCAGATTCAAGAATTGAGAACGTGCAACATTATTCCAGATTCAAGAACAGAGAACGTGTTCAAGTAAAGACACTCGCCAGTGACTTAATTCTTGTCATTCGTGAGTGCATTTTTATTACAGGGCTTGGTACCACATAGGGTTTATGTGACCCAATATTGCCTTTTTGTGACTGTAACGCTAAATCTGTGCATTTCAATGTAATGTGTTCATTATTAAATGATCTTGTGTAGTTGTTTACGTATGTCAGAATTCAGTCCTGTACGAATCTATTTCTGGGTTAATAGTCGCGTTTAAATTTCGCAACACAAGTAGTCTTATTAATAATTATCAAGACATATAGATCAAGCCTACAGGAAACATAAACAGTCCATACCCGTAAATGTGAATCGTATATCCATCGGCATCGATGCCTCTTTCCCTGAAAGACGCAAGATCGATGTAAAACTATTTTGACCTGCTTGAATGACCAACACTGTTGCATTTAAAACTATCTATATAAAAACATTAAACAATATGTATTCGTGCAGTTCTGGAGCTAAATATAAACAGTTGTGTTTCCATCTATGTATCACTTAATGACTTAGTGTACGTTTCTATTGAAACCCTTGAGTATAAGAACTAAGTTTCTAGATTCCTGCTACTTAGGCCAGCCTTGAACCCATTGTGTCACAAACGTGTCTTACAGTGTAATCATATATTGAGAAAGGGCACAAGTCATAGAGCACAATACTGGAGCATTCCATCTGACAAAAGTCGGTGAAATCGAGAGATCGCTCGCAGACATGTTGATGTTATGTAATACGAGTGCTGGGACGGGCTGGACATTATCGACAGACTGAATACGAAGCACACGTCACAGCTATATAACAGTGTTTTACATTAATTGAACACTTCGAGGCCAGTACATGATACCAAAAAGCAATTTCATATGTTTTAAAACAAACCTATAGGAACAAAAAGCATAATTGTGAAAACAATGACACCCCGGGAGACATTAATTGTCAAGCGAATCGTACAGATGGTGATTATGTCGAGATTTTCAGAAATTTTACTTAAGGCTGAACACCTGCATCAGAGCACCATGTGCCTATTACTTACGAGCTCGTCGTCCCCCGTGACATGGCCGTACAGTGTGTGGCAATACAGGTGACAAGGAAGAGGTAAGCTGTAAATGGAGATATGCCTCTATGTATGACACGCAAACAAACTGCATCTATCACCTGGTCTTACCCTGCATATTTTATGCAGACTGGGCTCTGGGTACAGTTTGTTTATACAATGTGTAACGTAAGCTTTGTACAGCTTTAACGAAGATGTGCTGAAATGATTACTTTATATATGTTTCGAATTTACTTGACTTTGCATGTGTTTGTGACGGATGAACCCGGTGGGGCATGATACGCTCACCTTTTCGCGAACACCTGGTATCATTACTGTTTGATAGTGAATCATAAACACATTCTCATGATATAGTCGGAATCGTACAATCGACTCTCTATTGGATATGGAAAGGGTTTTGTCGCTATATATATATATATATATATATATATATATATATATATATATATATATATATAACACGTCCCATTTTAATTCTGGAAACCCAAAAGTCCAGAAACTCTACGCTCTTTGCCCAGTCTCGGTTAAAGGTATTTACAAAATTAAACATGCCGTTTTCATGGGAACATACCAAGGAAGAAAACATGAAAAAAAAATTGTTTAAAAACTCAATATTTAGACTATGTCGCCCATGGGCCTGCCCATGGGCGAAGTGTGGCCCATGGGCCTGCCCATGGGCGAAGTCTGGCCCATGGGTAGGCCCATGGGCAGGCCCATGGGCGAGAATATGTTCCTTTACTTAAAACTCATGTTTTTGTTTCGCAAATACATTTAATGTATTCATTCAAGTATCATGACACAAAATTTAATTCATTTTAACTTAATTCAACGATTTTATAGCGATATTGAAATATTTCGCCCATGGGCGAGAAAAAGGTTTGGCCCATGGGCGAGAATATGTTCCTGTACTTAAAACTCATGATTTTGTTTCGCAAATACATTAAATGTATTTATTGAAGTATCATGACACAAAATTTAACTCATTTAAACTGAATTCAACGATTTTATAGCGATATTGAAATATTTCGCCCATGGGCGAGAAAAAGGTTTGGCCCATGGGCGAGAATATGTTCCTTTACTTAAAACTCAGGTTTTTGTTTCGCAAATACATTTAATGTATTCATTCAAGTATCATGACACAAAATTTAACTCATTTTAACTTAATTCAACGATTTTATAGCGATATTGAAATATTTCGCCCATGGGCGAGAAAAGGGTTTGGCCCATGGGCGAGAATATGTTCCTTTACTTAAAACTTATGTTTTTGTTTCGCAAATACATGCAGGTGTTCTTACTATTTTCATGGCTCATAATGTAACTCAATTTTACTCAATTCAGGTATTTTACAGATTTATTGAAATATTTCGCCCATGGGCGAGAAAAGGTTTTGCCTTCGAAATCCTTGATTATTATATCATGCCAGAGTTCTGAAATTCAGTGACAATGCTGTTGAACAGTAGAATCTGATGGACGTATTGTGCAGAACCTGTTTGACACTATGGGTTCCAGGACCACTAACACTCTGAGCTGAAAAAGTTTGGTCCTAACCGCACCCAGCATCTTTAATGAACCCGGCCTTATCTCTCAAAACGTTTTGGCAGTTTATCATACGAATTCATGTGCGTGTACAACATTAAATTTTAGTTAGTTTCTATTTCATTTTCCATTTTATGACCCGTTGATACATCACACTGTGCAATTACGTGACAGGTACGCGTGCGCGTATTTTAATGGAAAGAAACTATTCGTATTTTATTGCATAACGTTTGGCTGAATATCTTACATTCTAACGAAATCTCGAAATAATTATTTAATTACAAGCAGTGTCGAACTGACCAGTAGGAATTATGTTTCAATGCGATTGAGGAAAACGTGAGTGAATATTGTGACACTAAAGCAACTTTTAACTGCATTGTCACTTTTGGTATGAAAATGGTAATAGTTAAGAAAAACGTAACAGCCTTCTTATGATAATTCTCATATTCTCATTAGTACGTTGTGTCTAATTACAGTGTCGGCCTTATTTACAGGTGATTCTACAATACTTGTTGTCGGTCAATTACAATCTGCCACACCATGCGTGAATAAACAGTTATGCAGGTGTTGCTGTGGGCAAATACCTAGCCTGTACATGTATATTTTTGTGGATACATGTATTACATATTTTCGTTGATATGTGGATATATTAAGCACCAAGACACAAAAAGTTTATGAAAGATGAATTTGTGCCTTGATATATATATTCAACGCGAACGAAGCTTGTATTTTCTCCGCGATCCTGATGTGTATCATCGTTTAATTGGTCATTCATTAAAAGTATGTTGTGAGGCGATATCAAAGGAGCCGCTCAATTTAAACAGTGTCGTCCGCTTCGCGTGAACTACCACCCTACCCTGTCAGTAAGAGTTATGTAATCGGTACACAAATATATTTGGTGCGATGTCAGTGTGGAAGGAGTTTGAATTACGTCCGCCAGTGGCCACAGAAAGTATAGTACCAATCAACAAGGCCAATGCCGTACTAATAACCTAGTGACTCGCGTAACAACGGCTGTCAATATGTCTGCTACATCTACCATACCATCGTCCCTGTCACAACTGGCGTATTAACGGCTTATTCAAAATATTAATTGTAGAAATGTCGTTACCAGACTAACGTACGTCGTATTCAGTCCTCAACTGGATGTTACATTCCTTATATCAGTTAACAGCCCTGTTTGTGAAAATATGTACTAGACATAAGATTTAAAGACTAATAAAATCAATTGCAAGACCGCATAGACCATAAAACCGAATAAAATATGTCTTGGTATCATCTCTTGTGTATTAGATGATGGCAATGACCGGAAATGTTATAACGTTAGATTAAGAAGGAGAAACATTAAAGTGTTTGACAATACTTGGAAACATGAGCAATAAGATGTAGCAACATAAACATGCATGGAATAGGGAAAAAGGATGAAAACAAATTGAAAAGGATTTTAATACAAAATTATCGAACTAAATAACTTGCCTGAACAGAAGGGGTACCCAAACTTGTTTGACAGTTATTCGTGTGTTGTAGACTGTCGAATGTGACTCATGTGTGTATTGCAAGTTTTAGTACTCATACACTTTCTCTTTTTGTGTTTTGTTTGTTTGTTAGTTGTATAACGCCACACTTAGTAATATTTCAGCTGTATGACGGCGGTCTGTAAATAATCGAGTCTGGACCAGACAATCCAGTGATTGACATCATGTGCATCGATCCACGCAATTGGGATACGATGACATGCATCAACCAAGTCAGCGAGCCTGACCACCCGATCCCGGTAGTCGCTTCTTACGACAAGCGCTGTCGCCCTTTTACGCCAAGAATGGTTTGTTGAAGATCTTCACGGGTCTATTGAATGCAGGGATTTGTGTAAAGTCATTCAGACAGCATACAATGCCAACTAAAAAATTATACTCAGTGTCTCCGCAAAGTAATATAGTACGGTACTTAGAGTACATCTGAGATTATACTCAGATTAGGGAGATGTTTTATCCATATAACGTGTTATTATTCTACCTAACAATGTATTTAATGAAATGAATGCAAAACAAACTCAACGGCTAAAAGGTTTCATTGAAAAAACTACCCCTAGTCTTGACTAATAAAACAACTGCAACCCGACACAGATTAAACGCAACTTACAAACACAATCATAATCTGGTTAGTCTGTATCACTCAACGAGGCCGCTCACTCTGCCCACAGTATGAAAGTATTGGGCAGTTCAGTAATTAGGAGCCAAAACCAGGCAGGTACGCTGGTCACACTTGACTGGTCTGACTGATGATTAGGTCGTCTGACAATTGTGAGTGAACCATAGCAAGAAGTATCTGCAAAACTATTTGCTCCTTTTATGGGACCGATTAGTTTTATGACCATGGGCCTCGGCACAAGCGTGGTGTTGGAAGACAAGTTATACATGTACATCCGATATGGTGACTGTTTTTCGCTATTCATATTCTAAATACATTCATAATACCACAACATTTTAGTACTCCTTGAAACTTTACAATCACTTCAATATGTACAATAGATTGAACGAGAACACTTGATATATTGCAGATTATTAAATCATTGTCTCTATTATCAGCCGCTACGTTTGTATCGTTTGCATTGTACAAAGAAATATTTTATCTGTCCTTTTGCAGATTTAGCCTCAGAATGTGCTCATTCGAATTAGGAACGGAAATAATTGCTTATCATGAGTATATATGATACAGTTAAAAGTTACTTGTACACTGTAGACGTATTCACTTTAAAGTCGCATACGACCTTCGCGGGCGAGTTGAATGATCCAGGTTAATTGGAACGAAGTCTAGAGAGGGTTATAAAGTTTTGTATTTGGTAATGTGTAGGTTTGTTAAATATAATTTTTTAAATTCCTTTTATTTCAATATGTAAAAACATAACTATGCGCTTAAAAACAGAGCTGACTTGATGGGAGATAGCCACCTCAGATTGTCTGTTGGACACGGTTTAACCTTACTGTGTCCTCACCCTGGTTATTGTTACCGTTGTTATAAGGGATTAAGAGCTACGGCTCATTGCATTTTTGGTTACAGTCTGTATCACTGAAGTGGACATGTGCAGGTGAACTCTGTTCAATTAGTATATGAAATGCCCCAAAATGTGAACTCCAGACAATAATAACCTGATGGTAAATCCACGTGCGTCTGCCTTTCCCCTCGTTCACCTTCGAAATCCTTGATTATTATATCATGCCAGAGTTCTGAAATTCAGTGACAATGTTGCTGAACAGTAGAATCTGATGGACGTTTTGTGCAGAACCTGTTTGACACTATGGGTTCCAGGACCACTAACACTCTGAGCTGAAAAAGTTTGGTCCTAACTGCACCCAACATCTACAAGTTTGTAAGCTTGTAGACATCATTAAGAAGTAATTAACAGTCCCATGCTGAGACCTTTCTCAAAATTCAGACCGGTGGCAGGCTGCCAACAAAGAGAAGAAAATATCGCAACCCCGACACGAGTGTGCTCAGTCAAACAATGAACTTACGACCGGCAGAAAACAACTCCAGTTGAGTATGCCGATGCTGTATCTCAGCCGTGTTGGCCTGAAAATTTAAACATGCTTATTAAATCCAAAATCGTATAATTATTTTTAATAGAAACCGTATCTTAATTTGTTCTTGCACTGCATCATATCGTGTATTTCATCTGTATATGTGAAATGTGTATATGTATCAATGACTACACTTATACCGCATATTCTGCAACAGACTATAATTAATCACCTTATTATTGTCTCTCCATTTACCATGGCTGACTGCACTAATACCCTTTTAACAGTGGACACCGATATCAGTATACATGTAGGCTTTTTGTTCAAAAAGGAATATGCAGGAAATTATATGTAACAATTAACTGTGTACTAATTACATGTTTGAATGTTATCAGTTTTACGTTCTGAGATACAGTGATGTAAGCATCTTCTAAAATCTTCTAAAAATATAATAAAATACAAAACTCTCTGCCGTAATTTTTTGTGGAAATCATTCGATCAAGTAAAAATGACTGCGTGACAAGACGAATCAACTATTTATACCCGATAAAAGAAACTGCCGTATTTTAGGAACAGTGCTATAACAAGACATTTGAAATTTCTAACAAGCAGATACATTAGAGACAGTGACTAGACTACAGGTACGTAATCCGTATCAATCAAAGGTGTAAAAAAACTGAAAATCATATCTGTCGGAGACCTACCAAATTACCAAGTTTTATCATTACTATATTTATTACAATGCAAATACTTTAGTGATACATTTTTTAGAGGAGAGGGCATACACACAAGTATATTGCTTCCGTGTGTGAATGCAGGTTGTACTTGGTATCTCAGTTCTCAGTTTCATACCGGTTGTATAACTGAATTTGTATATGGAACCATGCGTACAGCATGACAATTACTTGCTATTCGTCAGTTTACAACACACATAACACGGTCAAACAATTTTAGGCACCGCTTTTGCGAGTTATGTAGTACAATAATGTTTTATTAAAATCTATTTCAATTTGTTTTCACCATTTTCCCTATTGACAGTCGTTGTTACGTGCGTCACTAGGTAATTAGTACGGATTGACCTTGTTTATTGTTTCCATACTTTGAGGATTTCTGTGGCAACTGGCGGACGTAATTCAAACTCCTTCCGCACTGACACCGCATCAAATATATTTGTGTACCGATTACATAACTCTAATGGACAGGGTGGGGTGGTAGTTCACCGGACGACACTGTGTATTTTGGGCGGCTCCTCTGATATCTCCTCCAAACATACGTTTATTGAATGACCCCATTAAACGATGATACACATCTCGATGAATATATCAAGGCACTAATTCATCTTTCATAAACATTTTTTTGTCTTTGTGCTTAATATATCCACATATCAACGAACATTTGTAAAACATGTATCCTAAAAAAAATAAACATTTTCAGGCTAGGTATTTGCCCACAGCAACACCTGCATAACTGTTTATTCACGCGTGGTGTGGTAGATTGTAATTGACCGAGAGCAGGTATTGTAGAATCACCTGTAAATAAGGCCGACACTGTAATTAGATACAACGTACTAATGAGAATTATCATAAGAAGGCTGTTGTTTTTTTCTGAACTATTACCATTTTCATACCAAAAGTGACAATGCAGTTAAAAGTTGCTTTAGTGTCACAATATTCACTCACGTTTTCCTCAATAGCATTGAAACATAATTCCTTCCAACTGGTCAGTTCGAAACCGCATGTAATGAAATAAATATTTCGAGATTTCGTTAGAATGTAAGATATTCAGCCAAACGTTATGCAATAAAAGACGAATAGTTTTTTTCATTAAAATACGCGCACGCGTACCTGTATATTGCATACCTAGTGTCACGTAATTGTCCAGTGTGATGTATCAACGGGACATTAAATGGGAAATGAAATAGAAACTAACTAAAATTTAATGTTGTGGAAAATAACTCCAATGAATTGGAGTACACGCACATGAATTCGTATGATAAACTGTCAAAACGTTTTGAGAGGTAAGGCCGGGTTCATTAAAGATCGCTACAATATGTAAAACAGGTGAAATTTGTAGAACTAAAGGAAACATCCAACCAAATGCCCTTTTTAAATAGTAATGTAATGATATAATATAAAGTATATTTCACATGATACAATATACTTTGCAAACAGTTAGTTGATGCTTGAAAGGGACTGACGAAAACATGGGCGAAATATTTTAATAACGCCCTAAAATAGTTGAATTAAGTAAAAATTAGTTAAATTTTGTGTCATGATACTTTGAGTTTTGAGTAAAGGAACATGTTCTCGCCCATGGGCCTGCCCATGGGCCAAACCTTTTTCTCGCCCATGGGCGAAATATTTCAATATCGCTATAAAATCGTTGAATTAAGTTAAAATGAGTTAAATTTTGTGTCATGATACTTGAATGAATACATTAAATGTATTTGCGAAACAAAAACATGAGTTTTAAGTAAAGGAACATATTCTCGCCCATGGGCCTGCCCATGGGCCTACCCATGGGCCAAACCTTTTTCTCGCCCATGGGCGAAATATTTCAATATCGCTATAAAATCGTTGAATTCAGTTAAAATGAGTTAAATTTTGTGTCATGATACTTCAATAAATACATTTAATGTATTTGCGAAACAAAATCATGAGTTTTAAGTACAGGAACATATTCTCGCCCATGGGCCAAACCTTTTTCTCGCCCATGGGCGAAATATTTCAATATCGCTATAAAATCGTTGAATTCAGTTAAAATGAGTTAAATTTTGTGTCATGATACTTGAATGAATACATTAAATGTATTTGCGAAACAAAAACCTGAGTTTAAGTAAAGGAACATATTCTCGCCCATGGGCCAAACCTTTTTCTCGCCCATGGGCGAAATATTTCAATATCGCTATAAAATCGTTGAATTAAGTTAAAATGAATTAAATTTTGTGTCATGATACTTGAATGAATACATTAAATGTATTTGCGAAACAAAAACATGAGTTTTAAGTAAAGGAACATATTCTCGCCCATGGGCCTGCCCATGGGCCTACCCATGGGCCAGACTTCGCCCATGGGCAGGCCCATGGGCAGGCCCATGGGCCACACTTCGCCCATGGGCAGGCCCATGGGCAGGCCCATGGGCGACATAGTCTAAATATTGAGTTTTTAAACAATTTTTTTTTCATGTTTTCTTCCTTGGTATGTTCCCATGAAAACGGCATGTTTAATTTTGTAAATACCTTTAACCGAGACTGGGCAAAGAGCGTAGAGTTTCTGGACTTTTGGGTTTCCAGAATTAAAATGGGACGTGTTATATATATATATATATATATATATATATATATATATATATATATATATATATATATATATATATATATATATATATATATAAAGCTTTATATACGTAATGTTGACAAAAATATATTTTCCAAGCTCTCCACAGTATCTCCTTCACTGTAACATCTAAAAGTAACATTTAATATTACTTTTTCTGGTTATCAAGAACATCAACGGAAAGCTTACTGATTGTATGCAGTCGAGCTGACACAACTCCCAAATTCAAATCCTTTGGCTGAATCCACCAATTACCCACTTATCATGAAGTTAAAAATATCTTTAATGTTCAGTACCTGTAATTGTGTACAACTTGTCCATTGGCCTTTATGTTTGGTGTACTGAAACGAAAGGTTCGCAAGTATTATTTGAAACTGACATGCTCCAGTTAGATGACAATAGACATGTGCAACAGTCACTTTGTTGAAACATGGAGGACTGTGGGTGGGTATATTGTTTCACTGACGTGTCTCGCGGCAGTTGGTGTATTTAGTAAATAACTTGTGTGTGGTGTGTCTTCCTTGAATTAAGCTCTTTTTCTATAATCTACTAAATAAAACTTCTTGACATTAATACAAATTCTATCAATTAAAATACCTATATATAGGTCTCTTATAAAAAAAGAAGACGTTGAGATATGTATACCTCGTATTAGTTAGGCATGTGTTAAGGTTGACTCGTCACCGAAGACATGGCTACACTGCGTGAAGAAAAGTCATAAAGCCGGGCACATACATACAATGTCACTTGATTGATATCCTGGTACAAGTGTTTGTATCTGGTCAATATGCGATGGGACTTCCGTATGAAACGTAACATTGACCTAGAAAATTACGGTTAACATTAACATAGGTGAAGACCCTTGTGTGAATGGTTTTCAAGAAAGAAGAACTTACCTCGAATAAGTTTTGAACAGTATGAAGGGCAAGCCTGCACAACAGCCACCTTCCCTACAATCCTCCACCCTACTCACGTCCCACCAGGAAGTATAGTCTAACTGTTTGTCTAGCTCACAGGGAAATACAGCGCTCTGATAACCATGAATAGAGATTGTTTAAGATCGTGTGTTTGTCACAAAGCATGACCGACAAGAACACCACAGGCTAACAGATATGATGTTGCGCTGTGACATCCACAACAAGGCAAACATACTTAATTGTAGGACGTATTAGTGTTGTGTATATGGGTTTGACAAACAAATAATGTTCTCTAGATAAAGACAGGTCAGACATGAACAGGAAGAAAAGCGACAGGTTGAGATCCATATATTTTCTTCCTTATGAGTATCACTTCTAAATGCCTTTCAAAGACCTGATACGACATCAACATGAAGTTGATGCAGTTACATCCATCAACAAGTACAACAAGACCATCAGCAAAAGTGTTACGTTCAACAACCACCTGACCTTCCTCCCACAAGACCCAGTCTCTAGCCCAGACCAGCCGACATCTCACATCAACAAGCTCACTCAACTAGAACACCCACTCCAACACCATGTCGCAGAAGCCAGTCCCAGAACCACCAACAAGACTGTAATTTTGTTGTCCTTACATGTACATATATTATACTCTCTGCCTCATGGCATTCATTCACCCGATGAAGGAGAAAGCATATACTCCGAAAAGTTGTGTTCCTCATAATAAAGAAGTTGACATCCATATATTCTCTTCCTTATGTGTATTACTAGGCTGTTAGTATTGTGATCAGCACACTGGGGTTTGGTGACACGCAGTCATCCAAGCCCAGATTAGTTGCCTCTCACGACAAGCTTGAAACTTATTCTACACAGGGTCCTCTGCATGGAGTATTTCAACAATGCGACTGAGACTCCATTACGAGTGACACCGTAATTTTAGTGCCCATAGCCCAGCGGTCCGTGGTCGGATTTTTCATCGAGACGTAATGATCCTTCTGTGGTAGTGGCTGTCATTCGTCAGCACTCGCCCCTGTTCGTAACCTGCAAGATCGATTCGGCTTGTCCCGGAATAACACGAGTTGATCATGAATGAGTGGTTGTGTGTCGTGGGTTGATATTGACAGGTGACTAGAGTGTTGTTGATGGGTAGGCGGGGTGCTCGGTTTGAGGGCCATGTGTGGACCACAGTGTTGATGATTGGTGGGTGGAGTATTCCGGGTTGGGGACATGTGTTTGATTGGAGTGTTGTTGAGGATGGTGGGGTGTTCGGGGTGGGGGCCATGTGTTGACCGGAGTGTTGTGATGGATGGTGGGGTGTTCGGGGTGGGGGCCATGTGTTGACTGGAGTGTTGTTGAGGATGGTGGGGTGTTCGGGGTGGGGGCCATGTGTTGACTGGAGCGTTGTTGATGGGTGGTGGGGTGTTCGGGGTGGGGGCCATGTGTTTGACTGGAGTGTTGTGATGGATGGTGGGGTGTTCGGGGTGGGGTCCATGTGTTTGACTGGAGTGTTGTGATGGATGGTGGGGTGTTCGGGGTGGGGGCCATGTGTTGACTGGAGTGTTGTGATGGATGGTGGGGTGTTCGGGGTGGGGTCCATGTGTTGACTGGAGTGTTGTTGAGGATGGTGGGGTGTTCGGGGTGGGGGCCATGCGTTGACTGGAGTGTTGTTGATGGGTGGTGGGGTGTTCGGGGTGGGGGCCATGTGTTTGACTGGAGTGTTGTGATGGATGGTGGGGTGTTCGGGGTGGGGTCCATGTGTTTGACTGGAGTGTTGTGATGGATGGTGGGGTGTTCGGGGTGGGGGCCATGTGTTGACTGGAGTGTTGTTGATGGGTGGTGGGGTGTTCGGGATGGGGGCCATGTGTTTGACTGGAGTGTTGTGATGGATGGTGGGATGTTCGGGGTGGGGTCCATGTGTTTGACCGGAGTGTTGTGATGGATGGTGGGGTGTTCGGGGTGGGGTCCATGTGTTTGACTGGAGTGTTGTGATGGATGGTGGGGTGTTCGGGGTGGGGGCCATGTGTTTGACTGGAGTGTTGTTGATGGGTGGTGGGGTGTTCGGGGTGGGGGTCATGTGTTTGACTGGAGTGTTGTGATGGATGGTGGGGTGTTCGGGGTGGGGTCCATGTGTTTGACTGGACTGTTGTTGATGGGTGGTGGGGTGTTCGGGGTGGGGGCCATGTGTTGACTGGAGCGTTGTTGATGGGTGATGGGGTGTTCGGGGTGGGGGCCATGTATTGACTGGAGCGTTGTTGATGGGTGATGGGGTGTTCGGGGTGGGGGGCCATGTATTGACTGGAGTGTTGTGATGGATGGTGGGTGTTCGGGGTGGGGGCCATTTATTGACTGGAGTGTTGTGATGGATGGTGGGTGTTCTGGATGGAGATGTGATTGACTGGAGTGTTGTTGATGGGTGGGTGGGGTGTACGGGTTGGGTGGTCGGGGTGAGCCATGTGTTTGATTGGAGAGTTGTTGATGGGTGGGTGGGGTGTACGGGGTGGGGTGTTCGGGATTGGGGGCCATGTATTTGACTGGAGTGTTAGTTCTAGTTGTAAAAACTCAAAAATCAAGTAGGGAAAAATGGTTCTTAACTCACAACCGTTACAAATCGTCACTTCGTATAAATGTCAGGGGTTGCTTATACAAACAGATTATAGTGAAATTGCCACAGCAGTAATGTAGCAATGGGTATCTTACATAGTTTAAAAACCTTCACTGATCTTTCATGTAAAACCTTTTTCGTCAATATTTGAAACGAAAGTATTGGTTCAAGGTTTCTGAAAGGCCTATTGATACTTTAGCAAGACAATACTATAATATTATGTTATTGTATGACAAACATTGACTTCAATAGTTGTTATTAAATGAATGGATATAGATATGTTTGGCATAATCAATGTGTACCCACCCCAAAGATTGTATATATAACCCTTTTTGCGCTGTCGACAATTAAATAATTTCCTTACAATATGTACTATATTGCTTGGAACACAGTTTTCATAATAACGTCAATATAACTTTAAATAAACGTTGAGGGTATACAAATACAGGACACCGTAACAATGTATGTGTAATGTGATATAAGGTAAAATACTTTGGATTTCTGTGTCATCCTGTTCATGACCAACAGTGTACAATATTGAGGAAACCTTTGCACTTTTGTAACCCTGATCACACAACATCTGTGTAAGAGTCTAGTGATGCTCATTGAAATATCCTCGCACCTTTAATATACCCTCAGATAATATACTGTTAATTACATAAATCGTAAAACGAATCCCTCACTGTACGGTAGTGTCCACCAGGAACACTTGTTTACACGCAACAAGGATTCGTGTTATTGATAGCATCCCGCTGTAACTGAAACTATTTGCCTCATAGAACATTGCAACACAGAGGAAGTTTCCTGTACTTATGATAACGTCAGGGACAGGAGGAAAGCCGACGGTAGGTGATATCTCTGTCAGACCCGCCCTTCACGATATACTAGTATCAGCGGTGGGTAATAAATACCTTCGGCTATGCGTTGGCTTATTCAAAGACATGGTTAAGAAAATGTATCGAAGTCAAATGTCTTTCTAGCTATCTTACATATTTCTATGATATCAACACATCCGCATTCCATTCATCGTCATAATATATCTTGAACGAGTTCGACCGAGGACAAGCGCGTTCCCATCGTCGTACCTGAGTGACATCCCCGGGGTAGTGGTGATGCGTGTATCCACATAGGGCGGGTTCTGGACATCCCCGGGGTAGTGGTGATGCGTGTTTCCACATAGGACGGGTTATGGACATCCCTGGGGTAGTGGTGATGTGTGTAACGACATAATGCGGAATATTGACATCCCCGGGGTAGTAGTGATGCGTGTATCCACATAGGGCGGGTTATGGACGTCCCCGGGGTAGTGGTGATGCGTGTATCCACATAGGGCGAGTTATATACACCCCGGGGTAGTGGTGATGCGTGTATCCACATAGGGCGGGTTATGTACAACCCGGGGTAGTGGTGATGCGTGTATCCACATAGGGCGGGTTATGTACACCTCGGGGTAGTGGTCATGCGTGTATCCACATAGGGCGGGTTATGGACATCCCCGGGGTAGTGGTGATGCGTGTATCCACATAGGGCGGGTAATGTACACCCCGGGGTAGTGGTGATGCGTGTATCCACATAGGGCGGGTTTTGTACACCCCGGGGTAGTGGTGATGCGTGTATCCACATAGGGCGGGTTATGTACACCCCGTGGTAGTGGTGATGCGTGTATCCACATAGGTCGGGTTATGGACATCCCCGGGGTAGTGGTGATGCGTGTATCCACATAGGGCGGGTTATGTACAACCCGGGGTAGTGGTGATGCGTGTATCCACATAGGGCGGGTTATGTACACCTCGGGGTAGTGGTCATGCGTGTATCCACATAGGGCGGGTTATGGACATCCCCGGGGTAGTGGTGATGCGTGTATCCACATAGGGCGGGTAATGTACACCCCGGGGTAGTGGTGATGCGTGTATCCACATAGGGCGGGTTATGGACATCCGCGGAGTAGTGGTGATGCGTGTATCCACATAGGGCGGGTTATGGACATCCCCGGGGTAGTGGTGATGCGTGTATCCACATAGGGTGGGTTTTGTAAACCCAAGGCTTCTGGTGATGCCTGTATCCACATAGGGCGGGTTTTGTACACCCCGGGGTAGTGGTGATGCGTGTATCCACATAGGGCGGGTTATGGACATCCGCGGAGTAGTGGTGATGCGTGTATCCACATAGGGCGGGTTATGGACATCCCCGGGGTAGTGGTGATGCGTGTATCCACATAGGGTGGGTTTTGTAAACCCAAGGCTTCTGGTGATGCCTGTATCCACATAGGGTGGGTTTTGTACACCCCGAGGTTTTGGTGACGTGTGTATCCACATAGGGTGGGTTTTGTACACCCCGGGGTAGTGGTGATGCGTGTATCCACATAGGGCGGATTATGTACACCCCGGGGTAGTGGTGATGCGTGTATCCACATAGGGCGGGTTATGTACACCCCGGGGTAGTGGTGATGCGTGTATCCACATAGGGCGGGTTATGGACATCCCCGGAGTAGTGGTGATGCGTGTATCCACATAGGGCGGGTTATGTTCATCCCGGGGTAGTGGTGATGCGTGTATCCACATAGGACGGGTTATGGACATCCCCTGGAAAGTGGTGATGCATGTATCCACATAGGGCGGGTTATGTACACCCCGGGGTAGTGGTGATGCGTGTATCCACATAGGGTGGGTTATGGACATCCGCGGAGTAGTGGTGATGCGTGTATCCACATAGGGCGGGTTATGGACATCCCCGGGGTAGTGGTGATGCGTGTATCCACATAGGGTCGGTTTTGTACACCCAAGGCTTCTGGTGATGCCTGTATCCACATAGGGTGGGTTTTGTACACCCCGGGATTTTGGTGATGTGTGTATCCACATAGGTTGGGTTTTGTACACCCCGGGGTTGTGGTGATGTGTGTATCCACAGGGGATGGGTTTTGGACACCTCTGGGTAGTGGTGATGCGTCTATCCACATAGGGCGGATTATGTACACCCCGGGGGAGTGGTGATGCGTGTATCCACATAGGGCGGGTTATGGACATCCCCGGGGTAGTGGTGATGCGTGTATCCACATAGAGTGGGTTTTGTACACCCCGGGGTTGTGGTGATGTGTGTATCCACAGGGGATGGGTTTTGGACACCTCTGGGTAGTGGTGATGCGTCTATCCACATAGGGCGGATTATGTACACCCCGGGGGAGTGGTGATGCGTGTATCCACATAGGGCGGGTTATGTACACCCCGGGGTAGTGGTGATGCGTGTATCCACATAGGACGGGTTATGGACATCCCCTGGAAAGTGGTGATGCATGTATCCACATAGGGCGGGTTATGTACACCCCGGGGTAGTGGTGATGCGTGTATCCACATAGGGTGGGTTATGGACATCCGCGGAGTAGTGGTGATGCGTGTATCCACATAGGGCGGGTTATGGACATCCCCGGGGTAGTGGTGATGCGTGTATCCACATAGGGCGGGTTATGTACACCCCGGGGTAGTGGTGATGCGTGTATCCACATAGGGTGGGTTATGGACATCCCCGGGGTAGTGGTGATGCGTGTATCCACATAGGGCGGGTTATGGACATCCCCGGGGTAGTGGTGATGCGTGTATCCACATAGGGCGGGTTTTGTACACCCCAGGGTTGTGGTGATGCATGTATCCACATAGGATGGGTTTTGTACACCCCGGGGTAGTGGTGATGCGTGTATCCACATGGGGTGGGTTTTGTACACCCCAGGGTTGTGGTGATGCATGTATCCACATAGGATGGGTTTTGTACACCCCGGGGTAGTGGTGATGCGTGTATCCACATAGGGTGGGTTTTGTACACCCCGGGGTAGTGGTGATGCGTGTATCCACAAAGGGTGGGTTATGGATATCCCTGGGGTAGTGGTGATGCGTGTATCCACATAGGGCGGGTTATGGACATCCCCGGGGTAGTGGTGATGCGTGTATCCACAAAGGGCGGGTTATGGACACCCCCGGGGTAGTGGTGATGCCTGTATCCACAAAGGGTGGGTTATGGATATCCCCGGGGTAGTGGTGATGCGTGTATCCATATTGGGCGGGTTATGGATATCCCCGGGGTAGTGGTGATGCGTGTATCCACATAGGGCGGGTTATGGACATCCCCGGGGTAGTGGTGATGCGTGTATCCACATAGGGCGGATTATGTACACCCCGGGGTAGTGGTGATGCGTGTATCCACATAGGGCGGGTTATGTACATCCCGGGGTAGTGGTGATGCGTATATCCAGATAGGATGGGTTATGGACATCCCCTGGAAAGTGGTGATGCATGTATCCACATAGGGCGGGTTATGTACACCCCGGGGTAGTGGTGATGCCTGTATCCACATAGGGTGGGTTCTGGACATCCGCGGAGTAATGGTGATGCGTATATCCACATAGGGCGGGTTATAGACATCCCCGGGGTAGTGGTGATGCGTGTATCCACATAGTGTGGGTTTTGTACACCCCAGGGTTGTGGTGATGCGTGTCTCCACATAGGGCGTGTTATGGACATCCCCGGGGTAGTGGTGATGCGTGTTTCCACAAAGGGTGGGTTATGGACATCCGCGGAGTAGTGGTGATGCGTGTTTCCACATATGGTGGGTTATGGACATCCCCGGGGTTGTGGTGATGCGTGTATCCACAAAGGGTGGGTTATGGATATCCCTGGGGTAGTGGTGATGCGTGTATCCACATAGGGCGGGTTATGGACATCCCCGGGGTAGTGGTGATGCCTGTATCCACAAAGGGTGGGTTATGGATATCCCCGGGGTAGTGGTGATGCGTGTATCCACAAAGGGTGGGTTATGGATATCCCCGGGGTAGTGGTGATGCGTGTATCCATATTCGGCGGGTTATGGATATCCCCGGGGTAGTGGTGATGCGTGTATCCACATAGGGCGGGTTATGGCCATCCCGGGGTTGTGG